TATGGTTGTCCGTAGCAGGAGACCTGAAGGCCACGTACTGGCTGGGAGAAAAAACACTGTTAAGAAGCCTTTCTGCCACATGCTGAGTAGTTTATCTCCTTCTAGGAACAACTGAGAGTACTGCTTTTTAGCTGAGTAATTGTTAATTCAGAGAGATACACAAGATGATGGTGATTGACTGTCTAGAAGCCAGGCAGGGAAATTTAGGTGTATTCTCATTACCATGAACAAAGCAGTTATGCTATTCTTAATAGGCTGATAGGATATGCTACTAATAGGCTTTGTGAGGCGCCATCTGTCACTTGACAGCTTTGTCTACAACAGTAGTGGCCTATAGGATATTCTGGTTAGCAAGGAATGTTAAGATCAATAGGAGCTTTATGGGTGTACAGGCCCGACAACCTGTTTCTTTAGAATTACAGACCTTGGTATTTTGATTTTCCAGAGCCTCCTTCCCCATGAACAAGTCATACTGCAATTTCATCCTTAGTGTATGTATGCGTGGTGTATGTATGTATACACACACTGGAGGCCAGAGGTTTGATGTTCAATGCTTATCATTCTGTTTATTCTTTTGAAGTAAGGTCTCTTAATTCAGCTGCTCTGGCTGGCTATTGAACTCTACAGACCCACCTGTCTCTACACCCCATCAACTCCTGGGAGAGGATGTACAGATATATTCATTCTGTAAGAAACAACTGAGTGTGTAATCTGTACCCGTGGGTGACCAGAGGCCAGCAGAGGGTGTCAAATCGCCTGGAGCTACAGTTACAGGTCCTTGTGAGCTCATCTCTCCAGGCAGCTCGTCCAGCTTTTTATGTGAGTGCTGGGGTTTGAGCCAAACTCAGGTCCTCTGGCTTATACGTCAGGCACTTTACGGACTGAACCATCTCCCCAGTCCCCTCATCCCTAGTTTCAGAAGCTTTGTGAGAGTTTGGTCAGGTTCCCTCCATTGGTTGTCTTTGTTACCCCTGGTTTTGGCAGACAAGCTGCTGTGACAACATTTGGAAACTGTGACTTGCCTTGGCTGTTTACACCTCTGTTGGTGACAGCTGCTGGGTGTGCAAATCTCCAAGAGCAGATACTCTCAGAATAGACAGGTGAAACGTTCACATAGTTGTACGGACACAAGGGTGGCAGGAAGGTAAGTGATTAATGAATTCCCCCCAGGTCTCGTCCTTAAGGAATGGTATTGATTTCTGATGGGCTGCGGTTGTAAGATCTGTTGAGTTCTTAGTGTAGTTAGGGTGTTTGTAGTTTAGCTTTCCCTTCCAACCTTTGATCACTGGCCTTCACCTGGAGAGGTGTGGTTTGTCCTTGCATGGGTCAGGACTACTGCATATCTGATTTCCCTGCTCTCCAGCTTTGCCTACCACTTTAATCTGTAGTTTTTCAAAAGTAGAGAATTTGGAAGAGAGGTTGTAGTTTGTTGCTGTTTCCCCCTTTCTGTTAATGCTAAAGCAGTCTTTTAAGGGCCAGAGTGAAGGCTGAATCCCAGTGGCCCCTGCTCCATAAATACAAGTTCATGCCTCAGCTTTGGATAATCACAAAAGAGTTGTTCTCAGTGGCTATGTTTCCTGGTCAAGTCTTAGCCCCAACCTTGTTTTATATACAATTTCTTTTCTCTTGCAATGGAGGTGTTGGGGAATGAAGCCTAGGGCCCTGTACATGCCAGGCAGGTGTGTACTACTGAGTGATAACTCTAGCCCATTGTTCTGTAATTCTACAAAACTCACGGACCTTAGGACTTTGTAACGCTTGGCTTCCGAGTTACCTCTAATTTTTAGCAAGTAGTTTAAGACACACTGGCCCAAGTTTACACTGACCTGTAAAATTTAGGTTCCCCCCGCTTTAGATACTCTATAGAATTGATTGGCCTAGGGCTGAAAACCACAAGATAACTTAATGGATAGGGCACTTGGCTCTTCAAACAATTCTTTGTTTATATTACTGAAGTCTTACTAAATTGGAGGAAAATAGTAAAAACTGGACTAGATAGCCTTTGTCCAGCATGGCACTCCGTCCTTTCTAACAATACCAAGTATTTTCAGGTAGACAAAGCTACCTCCTTTGTCACTTACATACGTCTAGACCAGTCTGGTGTCAAGGCTAAGACTGGAAACCTGAACACCATTCCTCCTGATATTGTTCCCAGTAGTACATGCGCTCCTCAGTTGGCCTCATTGCCCAGAACCTTTTGTACGTTTTTACTAGCACAGCTTTCTTTGGTGGACATCAAAGGCCCAGCTCTTGGACTCTTTATTCTATAAGACTCCGGCTTCCATTGTGGCAGCAGCCGAATCCAAGTTATGTGACTTAACAAGCTCTTGTCTCTTTCAGGATCGAATCATCAATTTAGTTGTTGGCAGCTTAACCACCTTATTGATTCTAGTAAGTATCTTCTTTTTGCATTTATACTCCTGGCCAGTTTTGAGAACTTTACTATCAATCTTCCCCAAATAAAAGACATATGAACATATAGATATTCCAATCATAGTCAAGTTCGAAAGAGTAAATCAGTCAATTGAGTTGGCCATGATTTCCTGCCTAAGTAAATCTGTAAAACTGAAAAACTGATCGTGGCAATGGCTGTCACCTCTTCCGTTTCTTTTAGTGCCTTAAGTTTACTCTGACCAGGTTTGCAAAGATTCTTACGGTAGATGTTAATTTTTAAAATTCTGCATAGCACATCTGAGTATGTATGATACACATTCTGTATCTGCCTATCAAAGGAAAAAAGCTACAGTTTACAAAATGTGATAACCAAGACTAAAATTTGCTAGAGAACAATTTTCCACTGCACAAGGTAGAAACAAAATGGGGATTAGAAACCTATCTTTTGGTATTTTTTCATAAAGCTAAGTCAAACCAGTGTATATTCACTTTTTTCCTAATTTTGTAATTTAGTTTCCCCTGTTTGGCAATGCTGAAAACAAATACAAAGGTAACAACAGTTTATACATGAGTGTGTTCCGCACCATTTCATCGGAAACACTGAATGATTCTCAGATTTGCAGGGGCCATCCTAATTTGCATACTGTCCCAATTTTAGTATTTGTTCTGCCAAAGCAAGCCCTACTCACTTTAGGTAGGGAAAATTACAATTCCAATATAATCAGATCTTTTCCTAGTAATTACTAAGCTTGGGAGCGGGATTTATATGACTGCTAATCTCTGTTAATGGAGGGGTGTCTTTTTGAGGCTGGTCTGCCTTCTTTTGTACTTGCTGGGAGAGTGTCAAATGCTTGGACAGGATCTTATGACGCAGATGTCTAGCTCTGCCTTGCTGCGGTCTGACCGCACCGTGGAATCACTCTTCCATGTCTCTCCATCCAGGTGACACTCATCAGTGCTTTTGTGTTCCCTCACCTACCTCCCAAACCACTGAACGTATTTTTTGCTGTCTGCATCTTTTTGAGTAGTATTACTGCCTGCATACTTGTGAGTACCATAGAATTTAAATGTTTGTAAGAGCGGAATATGGTTGTGCTTAGGACAGATTTCTAGCTCCTGGGTCTATATAAAAGGGCATCTCTCCTTTTACCCCACATCTCCAAGGATTTACCAAGGGTAATCAGAATTACCCTTTTCCAGAATTATCCTTTCTCCTCAATCCCAAAGTTAAAAAGCCTGAAGAAAACTGTTTCCTCGATAAGTAGACATGAAAGTTTAAGAATTGCCATAATACTTCAACTTGTGCAAAGTCAGATGGGACTGGCCTGTACACAGCAACTATACATAGGGTTCAACAGTCTTGCACAACACCCTAGATTACTTCTGGTAATATGGGTCCACTTGGATTTGTGTTCTTCCCAAAATGAAGACAATCAACATCACATTTCCCCAGAAACATATGATTATCAAGTTGTAGTTCTATCTGTAATAAGATGGCTATAATACAGACCCAGCATATACTAAAACACCCACCCTTAAAAGATGGCTATTTGGAGGTATCTGTTGGTTTTGCCTTTCAATTCATGAAACCTCACTTGGGGTGAAGTTGTATTTTAGTGGGAGAGATTCTCTCACAAGCAAGAAGACCCTGGGTTTGAGCGCCAACATTATTTTTTAAAAAGCACTAAGTTTTTTTTTTTTAAAGTAAATCCTTAAATTGTTCAAAACCCAAGTAACTTTTAAGCCATATCACTTAAGTAGAACTAGTCACAGATCGAATCTACTTGTGTTTGTTGCCTATGTTCTGCAGTCCTGAGTGACCAAGGTTGAGATAGTTAAATTATGTATTTACTTACATAAGCTCTCTCCTATCTGAACTGATCACATAAATCTAAGAACCCTTCTCTCTAGTAATTAAAATATATTAAAAATATATCCAGATAACATGTTTTTACCTAGTGTGATTGGTATAATACTTTGATCACAGGACCAAATACATCACAAAAAATAGGGATATATACGATCTTGTATCATGGAAACACGTGTAGTACTATCTGAATCATAAAGAACTATGGCTGCATTGGCCTCAGGAATGAGTAACTGAAGACTATTCCAGGACAATAAATTCTATGATATCCATATAAAAAGAATTAGTTGTATTTTACATTGCAAGAGTTGGTCATTACTTAAATTTTTATTTTGATCCTTCTTTTAGATCTACTGGTATCGGCAAGGAGATTTAGAACCGAAATTTAGAAATCTAATTTACTACATCTTATTTTCTATCGTCATGTTGTGTATATGTGCGAACTTGTACTTCCACGACGTGGGAAGGTGAAGCAGCCCAGAGTACTCACCAGGACTCTATCTATGGGAATCAACGGCTGGACAAGTATGCTGAAAGAATCCTCTCCGAAGTCTGCACATGATTTTCATGTTAACTGTAACTCTGAACTCCCTCTTGCAAGGGAGCTATATCCTAGATCTCCGCTTTCCTTTAAGAAGCTGAAACATTCCAGCCCTCAAATGACAAAGTATTTTCACTTTTGAAAATAATTTTTTTTACACTTTAAGTGCACGGCACAAATCTTTCATTTTAAGACAAATACTCTTTTATTTCTGTTAAACTGAATATACAATTATTGTTCCCTAGGCAACCAACCTTTGCTTATTACTACAGTTTCACATTAATAAAACAGATAGTGAAAAGACAACTCTGATTGTGAAGATCTAATTACAATAATAAATAAAATAATTTATACAAGGCTCTTTTTTTTTTGACTTTTCTGTAAGACCATATCATTAAAGCCCTCTCGGCTTGTTTTGGCGTTGCCCTTAGGAATGACTTTTGATACAGAAGCAAATTCTGTTTGTTGAAAGTGCCTGAGGGAGAAGCTAGCCTGTACCCCCAACAGGTAATGCACTAAGTGAACATCAAACTCTAATACCCCTCAACTATTTTCTGGGCAATTGATATAGTAAACCATGTAGTAAAAAGTCATGGTTCTCAAACACAGGTGATATCCCCTCCCCTCACTGAATGACTTCAAAGTGCTAATTGTAGAGTACTGGCTGTCTCTGGTGAGGGGAGATAACTGCTTTGCTATAGTGGGTTTCATTACTTACTACCTTCCCTTTAAGAGTTAAAGATCAAAGACCTGTAGTGAATTTTCTTGACTCTTTAATTAATGCTTTCCTCTTTACCCTGCCTCTCAGCTCCCACTGCCAGCAATGGGGTAACCAGAGTAACCTTCACAACCACTTCCCATGTTCTCATATAAATGCTGGTCTTGTCTTAAACTCCTAAGACAATCTTCCTGAAGGTCACTGCTGACTAAGCTGGACCATGTTGATAATATAACCTGAACTATAACCAGGCCAAATTGAGTTTGGACAGAATACAGTGTCCAACTGCAGAGATGAGTGTTACTGTGTGTAAAAAACCAGAGCAGGTAAGCTTTGGTGGTTTAAGTAGCTACAGTGAATACAACTCCCTCTTGATATAAAACTGAACAGATCTGGGCAATTAAAACTTCCTATACTCCATTAACACACTGTCACAAATTGGACCTCAGATGATAACTTTAACGGAGGTAAAAAGTAACAGCAGCAACAATGTGCACGGCTTAAGCACAGCACTACGTACAGGCCAGAGGAATGGTAACCAAAACTCTTGGGACTGCTCCTGTCTTTGGAGAAAACACAATCAGCAATGCGGCTTCTTTTATTGAAGTGCTGTCTCTAATAACCTAGTGACAGTTTACCAAGTCCTCAACATCCTTTGAGTCTTCAGAAACAGGACTGCCTAAAGACGATCCAATCATATTTGATTCTTCCTGATGATGTTGAAATATGGGATCTGAAATAAGTTTAAATAAAGTTAGTATTAAATGTATTTTGCTTACTATCCAGTCTAAGTCTTTTACTAACATTATAGCCTACAAGGAACACCGAGAGATCAAGAGATTAACATGACTGGATAAAACCGTCTGAGTTTTCCCCCTTATTATTTACCAGGCTCATGATTAAGAGTCTTAGTACAGGGGCTGGAGAGATGGCTCAGAGGTTAAGAGCACGGCCTGCTCTTCCAAAGGTCCTGAGTTCAATTCCCAGCAACCACATGGTGGCTCACAACCATCTGTAATGAGGTCTGGTGCCCTCTCCTGGCCTGCAGACATACACACAGAATATTGTACACATAATAAATATTTTTTTTTTTTAAAAAAAGTCTTAATACAGTACCTGTTAGTGTTGTCAAAGGCAAGACAGATTCAGTATCTATGACGTCAGATGCTTGGATAAAGCCATGTGGTGAAGGAACGATAAGGATTGTTTCATCATCAATTGTTTGATGAACTTGGTGTACTATGGTGGGAGATTCTAAATCCTAAATAATAATTTAAAAAAAAAAAGGAAACAAAAAAGATAGACTTACATTCCCCAAGTGCATCCAGGTCTGTTAGCACTTAGCACTCAAATGTCCTTCATTTAAAAATTAGAACATAAACATCAAGACCTTAAGAAGATGAGGTTCTATGAACCTCAATAATCTCGTAATGTAATGAATATTGATAAAAAGGATCTTAAACCAATAAATTGTCCAATGTTATTGACATACAGAGAAAATTACGTTGCACTGTGGGATGTATTTAGAATCTATTATTACCCATACCACCCAAAGGTGCTCTAGGAGAGGATGCTAACAAAGGCTGCTCACTCTGTTGCCTGTGGAGAGGGTGCACTTCAGCGAGGAACTATGCTCAGGCACATCCAGCAACAAAAGCTAGTCCACTGATACCTTCTGAGTTTGCACTTTGTGATTTTAAAGAGAAAAGGCTATGGGAGCAGTGGTTCTCAAACTGGGTGGTTGCGAACCCTGTGGGGTCACGTATCAGATATTACATTTAGATTCATAGCAGTAGCAAAATGACAGTTAATGCAAAAATGTTATGGTTGGGGTCGCCACAACAGGAGGAACTGTTATTAAAGGGTTGCAGCATTAGGAAGGCCGAGGCAAAACTCGTATCATAGGCTGCAGTCACCTACACAGCTTACCTCAGAAACGTAAGCACTGGCTAAGTCAGAAGGCGGTTCTTCCTGCTTGAGGTCAGTGTCGGCCATTTCTTCCTCTGTTCTGACCATAACGCTGTTCATCAGTTCTGTGCTATTCTGGTTGCTGAACTTAGACACGTGAGTATTAAATGACGGCTGTATAGTCATCTTGGGCCGAGGAATTTCGTCTGGGAATGTGTCTGCTTCTAGTGCATCTGGAGGCTCAGGAAAATCGGACGCGTGCAGGTCACTATCGGCTGTCAGTTCTGCTTGGGGTATGGAAGAAGTGAAGTCTTCCGCAGCAACAGTCTGAATAATAACTCTGGGAGTGTGACACTGCACGGTGACATTGTCACTGGTGTTCAACACATGTTCTGGCTGTAAGATAGTAAAGGACACTGCCAGTGACAGGAGCTAGTAACCTCCCTTCCCATACCTTTCACCTCTGCAACTACTTCATCACTTTCTAGAATCTGTTACTTCCCATGGAGTCCCTTCCTCTTGTAAATTCCCTGCTTGGATCTAATAAGAGACAACAGAGGAGACTCGACATGTACCCAGTGAAGAATTCGGTGCAAAATACTGCATCGCAATCAAACAAGAAGTACTCTGATACCCAACCCAAATGACTTTAGATTTCTATCAACTAATCCTGACCCACAACAGGCCCCGGAAATCACATGACATACGGATAAAGCATGAACAATGATCTGTTCAGGTGAAGCAGGAGCAGCCGCCGCCAGGGTTACTGTGGGACTTGTGGTCAGAGTTAGGGGAAGGCCTTGGCTTGCACTTGTCTGAAGAAGGTAGGTGCCCGGAGTACCAGTGGGCTGTAAATGGAAAGACTAAAGAAGAAAAAGAGGTTCAACACAGGTACAAAACCTATGGATTTAGTCTACATCTGCATTTAAAATTAATTTGAATTTAGTGGCTAGCAGCATACTAACCAATCATGAAGGTACACATGACAAAGAGAATGCTCTTCATTATATACACTGTTTGAAATGTCTGAGTAAAACATTTATCATGTCTTTTGTTCCTTGCATTTCTAGTTCTGGTTTCAACTAAGTACCAACACAGTAGCTTCTACCTAGAACTACCATAGGCAATGTAGGATCTCAATTCTCAATCATCTTTTTAAACTTTCCTCTGTGGTAAATAAAAAAAACAGCAAAATGTCTCAGTGGGTCAAGGCACTTGCCACTGAACGTGAGCTGGATCCCCAGGCCCCACAGAGTGGAAGAGAACCAAGTCGCAAGCTATCCTTGGAGCTCCGTCAGCACCAAGGCATGCACCCCCCCCCCCCCCAATAGTGAGCTGCACCAGCAGACGGACACCATGGTTTTCAAAAGGAGCACTGTGCTGTTTATTTACTTGAAATGTTTTCATTATGGAATAATTTCAGGAAACACTCATGTATTAAGGAAAATGAAGATGCCATTTGAATAGGTTGTCAACTAGCAATATTTTTATCTTTTGAGATTTTATAGTGATAGAATAGGATTTAAACTGTTTAAGTGTCTATATTAATCCAGGTTATCTTAATAAACTGCAGATTAAGTATTTTGTACTTTAGGGAGGGCTGGGGAAGTCTGTTTTTCAGTCCAATATAATCTTGGCCAAAATGTCTTTCCTGTGTCCTGGATCCCTACAGGATTTCTTACTGCTAACAAGGAAATAATACATATGTTTCATGGGAAGGGTTGGTAGAATTAGAAATGACTATTAAAGTGTCCACCACCACTGGGAACTCAGTTTTTCTCTGCTTTCCCCAAAGTGAAAACCAAGCCTTTTTCTAAAGGTTACCAGTATTTATCACAGATAGCTAGGAATCAGTGCTAATACTGTATATAATCACAGACACTTCAAGTGTTTGAATACACTTAAGTCTATATAGTTCAAAATTACGTGTATTGCCTGCTGTTTGTGCATTCAGTATGTGCCTGGTGCCCACAGAGGGTGTCAAATCCCCTGGAACTTAATTTATAGACGGTTGTGTTGGGAACTGAACTTGGGTCTTTTGGAAGAGCAGCCAGTCCCGTGCTGAGCGAAGTCTCCAGCCCCAGGCTATTTGTTGGGACTTTGTAAGTAAACAACCTTAACAGCCTTCCTCCAAGACAAAATAAACAAGCGTAAAGTTGTCCCAATCAATCAGTATTAACAAACTATGTATTCCTACTATGAGGTCACTAATCTCAAGTCCAAAGAAGTTCTGTCGCTATCAGTGTTTAGTATACTGTACGTTCCTACTGTGAGATCACCATGGTCTCAAGTCCAAAGATGGAAAGAGAATCTTCAAGGGATTTGTTGACTAGACTATTGTATTAATACATGATTCAAAATAAATCTTGAAGTAACATGAGTGCTTTTTTATATTTTCTTAACAAAATAGGAACAAACTCCGGGCTTGCTTTAGGAAGGAGGACACGAACTGGCACTTTTGCTTCTTGAGTTTTCACTGCCCCTGAAAGAAAGCCTGTACATTTAAGTCATGACCCATTTCCCCTACCACTTATAAGCAACCAAAATTTACTTAAATCACAACCAGATATCCCTTTATTAGGGAATTTCAAGTATGTGAGAACCACGAGATTTTCTTTCACGCCTGGAGCTGCATAGAGATAAATCCATTGTTCAGCCTTAAAATGTACTGTAATATACTTGACTCATTGAAGAGCAAGTTAGTACACTGTGGATGAATGCTTGTTTATCCTAGCAACTGGATGGCTGACTGAAGCTTCAGCTTCTGCTACCTCCCAGCACAGTAATCACACCGCCAGCTCCAAATCCCAAATTGAGCATTCAGGCATGAGTTCTGTGTTATTTTAGATAAACTTGCAGTTAAAATTTGGTCACTGATAACGAGTACGTAGTGTGTGCACATGTGTGCAAATGCATGTGCAGGCCAGAGGTCGACATAGGTGTCTTCCTCAGTCTCTGTCCGGTCTCACTGAAACACAGCTCACGGATTTGGTGGACTCTTGGTCTACCCACAGTGGGGCAACACAGTTACGCTGCCACGCCCAGATTCTTTACAATGGTGCTGGGAATCCCAGGTCCTTTGTACTTACAAAACAAACACTTCACCTACAGAGCCATCTCCCCAGTTCCTGATAACTGGTAACATTTTTACAGCTAACAAAATTTGCAGAACTGTAACCATTAAGGACTGGAACTAAACATTTTGTATACAGTGACTAGCATAAGAGCTATTCAACATACTCAAATATTACCAACAGCTCATGAAGTAAGTGCCCACTAATTTTTCGTAATACTCAGTTTGACTGAGCCAGTACAAATCGATACCATTTACCCATTACTGTCATTTTCAGATGACAAAAACTGCCTTATGTACATACAGAGAAAAAGGACGACAATGACATAGAAGTGGAAGTCTGTCCAGTTGGCCTCTGAATTCTAACTCCATCTAGATACCTCATCTTTCTTTTGCACAAAAAGAGCCAATAGCTATTATCTGAAGATTACTCACTGGAAGAATCTCAAATGTCTGTAGTGTTCCACTGTTTAGTGTTATTGTTTCTGAGTCAACAGAAGCAGCAGGGGATTCTGTGGAAGCTGTAGTAAGAACAAGGACAATAATAAAATGCTGTGTGAAATTTCTCCAATGGAATCAGCTGTCATGAAGGAAAACACATACTGAACAATTTGCCTGCAAACCTGAAGTTATATAATGGGCTCATCTGGGATGGCACAGAGATCAGACATACACAAGAGCTGACTTCAGCCCACTGTCAGTTCTACTAGACAGTCATGCCCACCCATAGCTTAATATGGTTGCTTTCACACACCATAGAAAGCAATAATGACATCAGAGGGCTCATAAAGCCAAAGAAAGATATTATCAGAACCTATAACTCTTGGTGTGTATCTGAAAGTGTTTTAAGAGTTAGGAAGCAAGAAAAATACACCAAGGCTAATCTGGAAAGAGAAAAAGATACAGAATAACAAAATTTTCTGGAAATTTTAGTAAGCACTAGATGTGGACTAGAGGTCTCTAACATTAGGTATTAGTTCTAGTAACACTGCCTCTTCCATGGCCCCTGTAGTGATTTAATTCAAATTAATATTCAAAGATTTTATCTGTACTTCCTATATAGAGTTGTTATGAGAAGCAAAAGCAATTTTAAAACCAAAAGAATATATTACAGTAATTCTTTTCAGAAGATCATATTTGATGGGGTCCAACGAGCACAATCACGAGGCTGGGGTCAGAATGCTAACAATAATGAATGGGGTGAGAAAACTCTTACTATACTCACACATCTTGTCGGAAGTAATAAAACACTCTTAAAAAGCTATTAAAAAGAGATGGTATGAATGAGTATTAAGGTTCCATTTATGAAATATTTGCTGTCTTCCTAATGGATAGTGTCCTCCTAATGGTGGCTAATCTTTTCCATGTACAATTTATACTCATTAGCAGCTCGTTTATTTAGACTAGGAACTTCTGCTATTTTATAATTCTAAAACTATAAAATAAAAAAAAAAACATGGAGGGTCAAATAAAGAGTAAGGCATGTCATTAGTTCAAATGTCTCCAAAGCAGCTTTGTTTTGTGGTGCATGTGATCAAACCCAGGGCTTCACCATGCAAGGCAAGTGCCACCCCCACAAAGGTACCTTTGATAGTCACTGCATATACAGATATATGGTGCTCATGGTATCAACAGGTGCCCAGTGTTGTGTGTGTGCATGTTTGTTTGTCCTAATGACAGAAAGCACTATCAGCATCTTATAGATGAGGTCAAGAAACACTAAGCATATTGTAATAGGAGGGTATTCTGCAAAGACTTACTCAGAATGCCCGGATGTGAACAAAAAAGTGCATACTGTGGGCAACAATCTTTTCACAGGCAAACAGCATCATGTAGGACCACCACCACCACCAAAAAAAGGGGGGAAGGGGCTTATGGTAATTAAAGACAGTTCCAAGAATTGGAACTCATTTCTTTTCTGTCACTAAAAGCAAAGAAATGTCAGAAAAAGGGAGGAAGGTAAACACAGAGCTGAAGTGAGAAACCTTTTCTCTATATATCGCTGGGTTACTGAAATATTCTAAGCATAAAACTGTGACAAGCAAAGATAACTGGGATTAAAAACACTTCCCTAAAGTAAACTGGCCCTTTACTACCTTAAATTTTTTTTCAATCTCTATAAAGATCCCATTTTTAAAATATACTACCTCAGATCCAAGCCTGTGTTGTTTTCATTCTGGATAAATCACAAATGACATGTCACACTGAAAACAATTTCTCTTCTAATCATTGATTTAGATGCCTATTTGATTAATGTCTATAAAAATCCCTATCATTAATTATAAAATCTAGAAAGATGATTTAGAAATACTTGAAACTGTTAGGTGTTTGAAGTTCCTCCTGTTACACATTCATTCTTGTGCAAATGTTAACTGAGTAAAACATAAAATTCCTTAGATCTCACAATTCATCAATTTTCATCAACACTCTAGAAGACTAAGGCACTGGAGCCATTAACTAGATGGTAACGCCCAATGGCAAGGAGTCTTGAGGTGCCAACACTTACAGACGTGGGTGATCTGGACTGGAATCTGCAACGCTGCCATGGGGCTTGGAGAGATGGCTGTATTATCTTCCAAGCGGGCGACTCTGATCTGAACATGCTGTACACTGGAATTGCAATTACTGTTTGGAACTCCAGCTCCTGATTTAGTCTCCAAAAGCACTGGGTTGTTTTTTTGGTTCTCATGTAACTGTTTAAGACCTTTTATTAAGACTGAAGGGAGATGGGTAGACAAAAAGAACATGACTCTCTGACAGACCACCAGCTAAGCATCAAGGGAAGTAGGGTGGGAGGAGGGCAAGGAGGGAAAGTATTTGGAGTAAAGAGTTGTACACTGCACATGAGAACTGTCAAAATCATAAAAAAAGATTCCAACTAAAACCTGTCTAAATCTTTGGAAATATCCGTAAGAGATTAAAAAGGGATTAGTTTTTTTTTTTTTTGGAGATGGGAGTGGTCTTGCTATGTTGCCCAAGTTGGTCTCCAAATTTAGTCCTGTGATCCTGTAATTCTGCCCCTCAAGCAGCCTGGACTTAGAGACATGTGCCACCATGCCTGCCCAGACTTTAAAATCACTAAAAGTATACTGTTCTTGTCATCAGAATTAGAACAAAATGGAAGTGGGTAGACACTGTTAGGGGCACGGGAATAAACATCTGTGTTCTGGGGCTTCAGGCCGAACTGTGCAGGAAAACTACTTCCTAGTGACGCTGGCACACTGTTTCTATTTTTATATGAACAATGCAGTCTTCTACCAATCACATGTACTCAAGGTCCTCTCATGGGCTTGCTTACTCTCGAACTTGCTCTTTTTGGCGGGTGTGAGGCTACAGTGTCTCAGTCTGTAGTGATCTGCCTGCCTTTGCTTTCTAAGCGCTGGGATTACAGGTGTGAACCATGATGCCCAGCCTCTGCTCTCACGATAACCAAAACCAACCCTCTGTAACGGGAATTCAAGTCAAGTCCCTCACCACTGAATTCTGCTTTGAAAACTGGAGTTAGAGTGCCATAAGAGAAATGAGTTTGGTAACCTAAAGGAGACTCTGTAACTCAGATTAGCACCTAAATGCAAAAAGGCAATGGAATGACAAACCTCTATGCAAATCCCATTTAAGATCCCTGGAAACCCTGAGAGCCTAGTTTCTTTAAAAAAAGGGCAAAGAAAAGAAAAATGTAGGGTACCAGATTTTTCTCTAAATAATAAATATAGCCAAGGTATTTAAAATTAATCAACTCGTTTTTGAAGACAGTTTCTACTAAAGGAAACCATGTAAAATTTATTTCCTCTTCGTAGTTGATGTGGAAGATGAATATGTGTAAGTGTGCCCTCCCCTACGTAGGGGTTCTGGACTAACAAATCACATGGACTCTCTACAAAAGGAAACAGGGCAGCTTAAATGGAATCTGCCAGAAAAGCCTAGTAGCCTGGACTTGAGGCAAAGACTCTAACCACTAACTTTCTAGGAGTAATACTATAAGCAAATAGTACATTACCAGGAAATGAAACATCTTTATGGTTTGCAATTTGCCTTTTGATGGTCCACCATTTACTGCGAAGCCACTGCGGTGAGCGGACACTGCTCCATCCCTCAGCTAGCAGATCCCAGTTGATGTCATTTTCATCGGCTACGTCAAGCTCTGCTATCCTACAGATTACAAAATAAATCTGTTAGGCCTTAGATTTATTTACAAATCCTCCTCTTAGTACAGGTGAAGGGAATGGTAGGGAGTGGCAATGAGGGGCCATGGTAGAAAAAGGACTCCAGCAGTCTGAGTGTGTAAGAGCTAAGGAATGAGATGCGCAGCCCCGGCCCTGAACTGTAGATGGCAAGAAGCAGAAGCAGCTCGGAGAAGGGAAGCGAGCAGACGAGGAATCACAACTGGATGAAGAACAGGCTGAGTTGTTCAGTGCTGCAATGTTTTACAGTTTGGTTTCCTATTTTTGTTTCAACATAGGGTTTCTCTGGAGCCCTGGCTGTCCTGGAACTCGCTCTATGTATCAAGCTGTCCTGAACTCAGAGATCCAACTCTCAGACTCCCAAGTCCTGGCTATAGTTTGTTTTTAGACTAAGTTATTTCTTGGCTGGGCTTTCCATTTATAAAGAAACCAAACTTGTTTAGAAATTCACCATATATAAAAATAACTTAGTTGAGAAAAACTTATAGCTGGGCGGTGGTGGCGCACGCCTTTAATTCCAGCACTCGGGAGGCAGAGGCAGGCGGATCTCTGTGAGTTGGAGGTCAGGATCCAAAAGCTACAGAGAAACCCTGTCTTGAGAAAAAAAAACCCAAAAACAAAAACAAAACAAAAAAAAACCTTATAGAACAAAAGAAAAACAATAAACTAAACAAACAGTACAATAAATGTGAGGTTTTAATAGTCTGTATTTCCTTCCCTTGACTGATGATTTTGATGTTTAGCATGGACTAGTGTAACTCCTAACTTTAATGTTCTGTTTGTTCATTAGTTTCCAAGGCTGAAACAAAGTGAAAACCAACTTGCCCCGCCCTCTCCCCAGTGTCTTAAAGCTGCAGAAGTGTTTCCTTTGATGGAAGCCGATGGTGTGCGACTGTTAAACTAAGTCTCCATGGCCACCTCTCGCACAGTACCCAGGGACTGAAGAGACCCTTACTCTAGCGTTCCCACAGGCTGCTGCTGAGGCACACTGCTGGGACAATGAGAACCTCACTGCCACTGCCTTTGTCTCTGCACCTTCAGTCTGGCACTTTGCCTGGGCACTAAATCAACCAGACAGGAACAAAAAAAGCTCAATAAGGTACTCAGGGTCTTGCACGTGGCTTTCCACGGCAAGCCTGTTTTTCACTAGGCATTCAAGGAAATCAAGAGCAAAGTCCATCAAGACACCCACAGAAATGAAGCCGGCTTTTGTTGTTAAAAGATTTGGAACCCAAACCTTAGGATGAGATTAATTTCATCTTCCTTGGTCCATTCAGTACCCCCACTCTGCTTCCAGTTCAGGTAGTTGAGCCACTTAGAACGGCACTGCTTTTCTGAGCGGGTACCCACTCTTTCAGCTACAGCTGCCCAAGACACGCCCTGTGTGACGATGTCACCTGGCTCCGTGCTTGTTAACTCATGAACCACTTCCGCAAGTCTCTTTTCTTCTTCTTCTGTCCATTTCCCTGAAAAGGAAATCACCCAGATTACAGTGTTATCTTCTCAACCATTACTGAATCTAGCCCTCTATGTCCAAGTTCAAATTCAAAGGATGAAGAAGGAGCTCAGCTGATCAGGTTACTTTGTAACAGAACTCAGTTGGAAACCACATATACTCACTAGAATTATATTCTACCGGCTTTTATTATCTAAAACAACAACAAAGAATTATATATCCTCAAGTTACATCAAGTCCTTTATATTGAAATAATAAAGTGGGAAGAACTTCACTGATGGCCCCACTGATAGGATAATAATTCTCACCACTTGCCAGCAGCACTGGAATAAACTTCATAGGCTGTCTTATTAAGAGGGAATGATAACGAATACACGCAGTGACATCTGTGAGCTCATCTACTCCAGAGAAAGTGAGGTTCATACCGTCATTTGTACAGCCCACCCCAAGCCACTGTGACGATGCATTAGTCAATTATGACACTAACTTCAAAAGCATTTTCATTCCATCTTTTCCAAATCTCTGAGCTTATTAACAACTAATGTTTCTCTTGCCTTTTTAAGTAATGAAGCTTGAGCAGAAAAACAGAAAGGAACTTTAAAAAAGAAGCCATGTTGTAAGGTCAGAGGGAAGCTGGCAGGCCCACCTCTCATGCTGCTCTCAGGGAATGGTACTGTTCCCCCAAACTGTGCTAACAAGTGAGTTCTGTACCCACAGAAGCAAACAGAACCTCTGGAGCTTCAAATAAAGCTTCTGATTCATTCCATACGCTAGCCACACCCAAGAATGAATGCCAGCTGGTGAAATTCATGGTCTTGCTGTCTTACTGGTAGGAATGACATCAGGGAGTAGAGGACATACTCCTGATTTCACTTTAATTTTAAAGTGAGGGGTAAAGGAAAAGATGGTTTAGAATCTTTTTTTTTAAATATTTACTTATTATGTATACAATATTCAATCTGTGTGTGTTTGCAGACCAGAAGAGGACAGCAGACCTCGTTACAGATGGTTGTGAGCCACCATGTGGTTGCCGGGAATTGAACTATGACCTTTGGAAGAGCAGGCAATGCTCTTAACCACCGAGCCATCTCTCCAGCCCCTGGTTTAGAATCTTAAGTTACACTTGAGAACTTTTTTTTTTTAATTAAAGACCTGAACATGTATTATTGATTGTTTAGGAACATTAAGACCAAAGGAGATTTAGAGTGTCTGCTCTAACCTGTTTTACAGAGGAATTAAGGCTCGTGGAAAAAATGGCAGTTTCTACAAACCATTGTTTATCACAAACTAGCTTGATACTTATCATCAATACATTTGTATATATTAAGAACTATATGTAGCCTGGCCAAGACACCAAAATACTAATAATCATAAATTTATGAAAAATAAAATTCAAGTTGGAGATCCACAGAAATATTCTTAACCTCTGAAACACAAGCAGGTTCTTTCTGAGCTGCCACAAACATAGGCTGATGTTTTAATTTCAGTTAGATGGGCTTACATCAAAATGACTTCTGTATGTCTTAAACTACAAAGCTTTCCCCAGTGGAGCAGTTCTGAACTGATACAAAACTGCAGAATATTAAACTTAAATGGTCTGAAAACCAAGTGTCGCTATGTCCTTGTTAACAATGTTCAGGGACACTGGATTTAAAAGCACAAAACCCAGTTGGCTTCATCTATCTAACTACATAGATAGATAGAAAGATCAGGAAATGACTGTTCAAATAAAGGTGACCGGCACACAGCCCCTCTAGGGGCAGACAGTCCGCACAGCACAGCACAGCACAGCACAGCACAGCGCAGCACAGCGCAGCACAGCACAGCGCAGCACAGCGCAGCACAGCACAGCACCGCACGCAGTACCTGTGTTGCAGGTGTCCTTCATCAGCCGGCAGCGGTCTTTGACAGAAGAGGCACTTCTTCCTAGGGCCGCCCCTATGGTTGCCCAGTCATTGCCGTGCTTTATCCGGAGCCTAGAACAAGAGTCTGCCAATCAGCAATTGGTTCAACTGTTTCCTCCCTTTTAATCTCATCATTTATTCTTCATTCTTCTTCTTCCCTTTTGGAAGTTTGGTGGTTTGGAAGTTGTGGGCAGCAATACTTTTGAGAGCCAAAGTTTGAAAGAATGGCCTTTTATTGGGGTCCACAGTTGTCTGTGGGTGAAAAAAAAAAAAAACAGGCAGCAATTGCCCTTTTCCTGGGTCAGAGAAGAAATAGATAACTTGGATATGGGTTTTAAAAAAGATCAAATTTCCCTCCGATTATTGACACTTCCCAGGCAAGTCCCAGAGTTTTTCCTTTGGAGCACATTCCTAACAAGCTCTTCTTAAAATCCCAACACAACTTTCTAACAAGGATCTACTTTCAGTCTTCAGACACACACAGTCCACCACACTGTACTAACAGCCTCCAGTCAATGAAGAACATCCATGCATCTGGAGAGTCACAGCCCTTTCCAGACGGAGTCAACACTCACCAGGCCAGTTTTATATCAAGCCCTAGATCCTGGTAATAAATTCCCTAAATTAAGTGTCCAGGCCACCGAAAACATTCATTTAATTCTTTTTCGAATCCCTATTAGTAATCTCAGCAAGCACCTAGTGACTGACAACAGGAGACTGATCTGTCTATTATGGGAATAGCTAATATATAACTTCTAACAGAAATTCATGCTTTTAACTGCCAAATAAAATTATGCCAGTCTGACAAAAAAGTTCAAAATTTCAGATTTAAAAGTTAAAAATAAGACAAAAAGCCAAATAATTATAATCAATAAAAACTTACTCCTTGAGCTTCTCAATTTCTTCAGGAGTGTATCTAGAAATTCAGAACAGTGGAAAAGAAATCAATTAAATATACACTGCTAAAAACATTACCAAAAACCAGTTTTATTTAGTGATCTGAACACGAAACAAAACAGCATATGGGTAATATTTGTCAAGTGTTTTAAAGTGAGTTAAAAGTTAAAATAAATGCTTCTAAATTCTTAGAAGAAAAAAATAATAATTACTTTTAGCTATAGTACACATATATACTGTATCATTTTCTCATGGAAATCCAACATTTAAAGTATCTACCTGCCTCATGTTATTTATATATTCCTTTATTTCAGTTAGGTCTAGGAATTCTGAAATTACAACTGTTCCAAATAGACTTATGGATAACACAGTGCATAGTAAAGAGAAAAAAAATCTTATTTTTTCTCTAGCCAGGCATAGATACTATAACAATCTTTTTCTTTATTTCCACAGCCAATGCAATGTTCTGTTTTATGTTTAAAAAATACATTTAACTGAAAATTCTGTAAGGCTGTTCACTGTTTAACCAGTTGTACTGCATGGAAAGTTTCTGAAAGGTAGCCAAGCCATTCCTTCTTGAGCCAAAAAATTCTTTCTGTCCAACTTCCTAACATCTTCAGTTGATTCCCTTCAGGTTTTAAGTGTATTTTCATGGGTAGCCTGCTAACAGGCTAGAAGAAACTAGCATTGGGAGCTCACCAATGTCTTTCAGGTCACACTGATGCCACCTAAAATCCCAGCGACAAAGCATCAGCAATATCACAAAATCACTCAACTATTTTGATGCCTTTCCATAAATGCTACTGTTAGCAGAAATCTATTCATCATTGCTAAGCTATTTTCTACTCTGGTTTTATTTAAAAATAAATAAAGTCATTAACCTGGCATACTATAGTCCTAAATCAAATAGGAAACAAACACTATCAACGAATCTAGAGGGTTTTTTTTAACACTCCCTACATTTTTAATCACCCCAATTTTTAATTTCTACAAAGTAAACTCTGACAGAGTAAATTCAATCAAGTTAATCTACGTAAAGTAGTTCAGCTTTCTAATTTCTAAGGAAGTCCTATTCAGAGGTTCTCCACATACTAACACTTGCAGGATAAAATTATCAATAAGGATTCACGGCTGCCTCCGCTTCAAGAATTAACTCAAAAAATAGCGGTTCCCATCTCTTTCCCCAGTTACGTGAACACACGCGGCCCCGCCAGCGTCCGTACTTTCCCACGTGGTTCCGGTCGTCATACATGCGCAGTACTCTTCTGTACACTGCAAACAAAGGCCGGTTCAGCCCCCACGCTATTGTCCTGTAGAAATCTTTCCTTTCGTCTTTTGACATCTCAAAGATGATTTCTGTAGCATCTTTTATTCCGCGTGCCTAAATGGGTTACAGTTCTTTGATTTAGGGATTGCTGATACAATGCATGTGGATATACTCTGCTTTGACAGCAGTTTTAACGCTACCGGTCCACAGTGACCCTGAGAGAAAGACCATTGCTCGTCAGTCTACACTCTAAATAAACCTTAAAGTAAGTGCTGCAGTAGTTATTCAAGTATTACTGAAGGGCACCAAAAATAAGCTAGCCAATTCAAACAACACAATTTCAGTTTAAATTTTAAACTTCTGTTTAAATTTCATTTTAAATTTATAAAAAAATTAAAAATACTCGAAACAAGTACAAGGAAATCAAAACAAATTGAAAGGTAAGTTTCAAATGGTTCTTTGAAAGGATGAATTAAAAATAAATTTTGAAATGATCCATTTCTGGCAAAAAGGAAAGGCACACATACTAGAGATGAAAGAAATGGGCCTAAGAGACACTACAGACACTGACAACAAATGATCACTAGGAACAATTTTACAAGTCTTAATTCACATAAAGTGACCACACTCCTAAAAACAGCCAACTTACCAAAACGGATTCTGGAAAAGATAGAAAATCAAAGACACATAAACAGAAAATTTAAAAAAACAAAAAACTGGTACTATTAATCTCACCATAATGAAAGTTCCAGATCTAGGTGGTATTATGAATAAACACTACCAAACATTTAAGAGAAAGTAACTGGAGATAATTTATGATTTTATTAGGTTAACATGCCCTCAGTAACAAAACCCAATGAAGAACATTTCAGAAAATCATCTGGGGCAAGGCTTAAAGCTTACTCATTGTGACAGCCCTGGAGTCCCACTAGTTTAGGGCAGAACCGAGAGCTGATGAGCAGAGGCTGGTGTACGTTTTCAGAACAATCATTACTGATAACTGATATCAGCACATTTACAGAAAACATGTCAAATTTCAAAATAGGTAGAAAATACTCTAAATGATAAAACTCATACTGAATCAAGGTAAGCTGCAGACCTGATAAAAGAACATTTCGGAAATATATACTCAAGAGAATTATTTATAGGGAATATCATATATATATAGGTAGCCACAAAGGTTTTGAGAAAAACAAACGAACAAGCACTGTATCAAGTTGCTGAATACCAAATCAATAAATAGACATTTGAATTTCTATACAAAGCTTACGTCTTCTATGGACAATATAGAATTTTAAAAAATATGATTCTTTTACAAAGAGAGTCAGTATAATTCCAATAAAAATTCTCTCAGGATTTCATTCTCTAAAAACTAACTTTTTAAGAAAAGAGGGCTAAAAATAGCCAAGAAATTCACACAGGGGCTTGCCCTGTCAGGTATTAGACTGTTCAAGCTTGTGTTAACCTGGTACTGGTTAAGGTAATAACAAGAAGATAAAACTAGAAAGAACTTGGGAGAAGTACTTTCACCCTATACAAAATGCTGGGGAAACTGCCATCCATATATAAAAAGAACTGAAGACCTATTTCATATTAGTTGGGGAGGGAGATATTAAGTACAAAATTATAAAGTATTATCAGGACAATAAATAAGAATAGATTCATACCTATGAGATGCTATCTTACACAAGCATGCAAAATCAAGTTTAAAATACTGAAATTAAGAATGTTTGTCCATTATATGTTATTCAAAAGGAAAGAAAAGGCCCTAAATTATGAAAAGGTTTCTGTAATGAATTGCCTATAAACCCTTGAGATACACCAAATATTATGAACATCTAGCAGGAAACAAAAGAAAACCCATGGCAAAATGGGTAGAAAATACAAAGAGGAATTTAAAAAGAAATACAACGGTCAATAACCATCTAAAATTGTTTTACTTCAAAAATCAACCTAAAAAGAATGAAAATAAGTAATTCCTGTGTAATGAGCAACCTGAAATATATTTGTATAGTAAAATACACTGAAACAAGTCAATAGCAAAAAAATCAAAATACTGAGCAAGAGAACAATTTATGAAATACCATCTTCTTATGTAAGTGTCAAAATCAAGTAAAACTGCAGTGGTACATCGTTTCCATAAGTTTAGACTCTTTTCATTCATAGTTTCAGAATCGCAATTAAACCCAGGTAAAGGCAAGCACTGTGTGCTTGGCACTGCGGGACAACACGAGTCAAGCATGCTGTCCTCGTTTCTGCTGTAGCAGTTTCATTATCATTTTGCCCAGCATTGGGCTATCTGACACTTAACCGATGAGAATGCCCTGTTAAATGTGGCTCCTAAGCATTTGATAAGATGAAGAATTAAAAACAATGTTATCTTTCCTCCTTCCCAAGACTTCGGACCCTCCACACTGCCCACTCGTGTCAATTCCCCCATCAGTCTCCACGTGAGCTAACAGCAAACCGCGCCAGTAATCCCATCTCCCTTCGCCAAGACTCAGAGCACGTGTCTATCTGCTTCCCTCTAGTCTGCTGTGCCTTGGAGACCATCTACTCAGAGCTGCTAGGTCAGACACCATTTTTCTAGTTCTCCAAATCTGGCCATCCATGCCGTCTCCCCCAGGTAAGCATTTAGTCACTGTCTATAGCATCCTCAGTTCCTCAGTGTATGGGACCAGTGGACAACTGCACTTTTCAACATTTATTGACTTGTTTCTTCAAAATAGCCTTGGTAAAAGAACTTTTCGTCCATCATTTGTAGAGAATTTATAATAAAGAATGGAAGGGTTTTTTTTTTTTTTTTTTTTCCCGCAACAGGGTTTCTCCGTAGCTTTGGTTCCTGTCCTGGAACTAGCTCTTGTAGTCCAGGCTGGCCTCGAACTCACAGAGATCCGCCTGCCTCTGCCTCCCAAGTGCTGGGATTAAAGGCGTGCGCCACCACTGCCCGGCTCTTGTTTTGGTTTTTGAGACAGGGTTTTGCTGTAGCTTTGGAGTCTGTCCTGGAACTAGCTCTTGTAGACCAAGCTGGACTTGAACACACAGAGATCTATCTGCCTCTGCCTCCGAGTGCTGCGATTAAGGGAGTGTGCCACCACCACCCTGTGGAAGTTTTTTTAAGCTTACAGTTTACAAAGCTTACCTTAGCAGTAAAATTCAGCTTACGAATACAAATGTGGTAGGCGACAATGTTTTGATTATATATGTCAAACAATGCTAATAGCTAAATAAAGAATGCATACTCCCCTATTCCAAGCCATGCTAACAATCTACACTTAAAATATCTGAATTATACCACCTCAAAGGTATGCAGCAAGGCTCTGGTGAGGATTCTGTAAGAAGTGTATAGGTCTCCACTACCAATCTACCATCTAACTAAGCTATCAGATTTTCTTTAAGGTTTTATTACTTCCCACTTCCTGTACAATATAGTTCTACTTATTTGACCTATACTTTATGCCAGCTGTGGCAAGGCTACTTACTTTTCTTGTTTTCAGCTACAGGGTTACAGTAATGTCCTGGGCTTGCCACTCAGCATTCATGCACAATGTAAGCTACACTTGGCCACTCTTAGCTCACAGCTTTTCAAGACTCAGAAACTGTCTGTAATAGCACCACAAGGCTGACGAGGACTGCCACAAGCCCAAAGCTAGCCAGGATTGCAAGTCAACCCAGGCAACAGAGTAAGACCCTGCCTTAAAAACAAATCATGCTTAATTGTTCCAATCCTGGGAAACAATTCTTCCCTGAACTCTTAAGGTCCATCTCATGCACATCATTTGCATGGTAGAAACCTTGCATATCATTTCTTGTTTCCTTTTTTGCTCAGATAGATAGTACGATAGTACGTACTGAGAGGATTCCTGTTTCCATTAACTCCTCAAAAACTCTACATTCAATGACATTTAGTGAAGATGACAAGGATTACAAGCCTATGCCAATGAACTTAAAGTTGTTTTTGTTTGTTTGTTTAAAAAGCAATAGCACCAGCATGAGTTAAGCTGAAAAGAGAAGCAAACCCCCAGGCACGGACAAGCTGAACTCACAGCCTGCTTGAAAGACAAGGGAGGGCTTACAAGTCGAGTAGCAATGAGCATTATTGTCCTAATTTCAGCCAGCAACTAAGGCTACTTTGTGATGAAAATTCAAAATCTGCTTTAAAAATAGAAAAATATAGTCACGGAACTTGAAATTATTAAGACATCAATTTTCTGTTATAAAAATTAGTGAGACATTCATAGTAATTACACAAACTACTACCTGAAATCACCCGTGAACCAATTACTGAACTGTGAAAACCGTATCATGGGGTACCTTCAGATAGCGCTCGATGTTGTTCATCAAAATATCGATTTCTTCCTTGGACCACATTCCCTGCTTCCATTTATGTCCTTTAAAAGAAATTAGTGCAATACAAATAAAAGAACTATTACACAAAATATTACCGTTTGAGAGGAATAAAACACAACATATTTCTCTTGTGGTAAAACTGCCACTGAGAACAGAACTGGGTTAGCCAAGTGCTCTATTCAACTGAAATGTCCCGAGTGCAGTACCTACTGTAACCTTACCGGATAAGCCGATTTCTAAAGTACCACTTCTCTTGTGGAAGTGTAACATTGCTGAGATAAGAGGATAGTCAAATCGTACTCAAAAGATTTTGGAAAAGTTTCTTTCCTAAAAAATTAATTTTATAGGCCAAAAAAAAAAAAGACTAAAGATTCTAGAGCTAAACATAAAAAGCCAGCTCCCAGGTAAATTGTTAGGAGTGTTTGCTGTACTGTGGCTGAGGCTTTCACTCATCTGTGTCTTTCTGCTAGAGTAGCACAGTGAATCCCACAGTCCTTTGTTTTTTGATAACAGCTTCCCCAGATGCGCTGGTGAGAGGCATAGCAATGTAAACGTTCTCATGTTTAACCTTCTAAGAGACTCTCAAAAACACAAGAAAAGTTCACTTTCTCCTCTTACACAATAACTGAATTGCCTCTTAAATGCCACCACAGCATATCTGTTTAAAAATAACATGTAAAACTGAATCTGTATCAGAAATACAAAGGTACCAGTTATTGTAAAATAAGTGGCATTATGGTCTCATTCATGGTGAAATTTAAATCCAATAGAAAGTTCAATTACATTACTTGGTTCCACCAAGGACGTCTCAATCCAGAATCTTAATGACAACAAGCCTTTCTAGTCCCAAGGCTTCTGCTATTAGGATCCAATATTCAGCGTATCTTACCTTTGTTGGTGAGAGAATCCTTATCTTCTTTAGTTGTAAACCATGCTTGGCTAACTGCTGAAACTTCCTCAGTGCCCAATGGAGATATTTCATCTAGTTGATCATTCTGTAAAATCTTTAAAAAGAAAAAGGGAGGGGGGGTTAGAAGCTTGATTAATGCCCAAGTGGATTTACATTTGTTGAGGCTAGGAATTATAAAATTCTAACATAATAATTCAATTTCATGTGTACACTGGCTGCAGTTTTTTATACATTAGGTGAATACAATCATTTGGGGAAGCTGGGTGTTGAGGCACATATCTAGAATCCTGGCATCGGGAGGCTGAGGCAGGATGTTGGCTTCCCAGCCTGGGTTATATATCTTCTGCTTCAGAAAATAACAGTAAGATATTCCAAGCTGGGTGCAGTTGCACATGCCTTTAATCCCAGCACTTGGGAGGCAAAGGCAGAGTCAGGCAGATCTCTGTGAGTTCAAAGCCAGTTTGGTCTAAAAGTGAGTTCCAGGACAGCTGGAGTTACATAATAAGATCCTATCTCAAAAGAAAACGAAAAACAACCTAACAACAACAACAAAAAAAGATACTCCAAAATCATTTGGGCATTTTGTATACAAAATGAACTTTTCTATCCAGTTGCTGTGAGCTTCACATAGGAGAGAGCAGTCCCCTTCCTTGGTTGTTAAGGCTGGCTAATGTCCTCAGGGGTGATTTCCTCTCACTTTATATGGTTTCTTCATAAAAGATTATCAGAGAAAATTATATCACTGCAAAATCACTGCTTCACTTAACAGGCAATGTTGTGTTAGCCCTGTGAAGACGATTAGCAGCCTTGAATGGTGCATGCTCCTCTCAAAGAACTAAGATAGCGTTAGAGGTCACTGTACCTGAGATCCTTCTGCACTCACACTACGTAGGGAGGAACAAAGCTACACAGAACAGTCTTGACCCTGGGCATGCTTTAAAAGATTTACTACCTGTTGTTAAAAACCACATTGCTCTGGATGTGACCAAAGACAGCAAGAAGTTCAGGAGAGATCACAAAGCAAGTATTTTGATAAACTGCTATAAATAACCAGAGACCAAAACAAAAAGCATACATAAAAATGGCATTGAAATTGAGGGTTTGGTAGACACAGGTGCAGACATAATAATTTCACCAAAATCTTGGCATCCACACTAGCCTTTTAGGATGTAAATGTTCAGCTTCTTGGGATTGCAACTTTATCTCAGATAAAAAATGTGCAACATGGGTCAAGTATATACAGTCAGAAGGACAGATGGGAACATTAAAATTAAAACTACATATGGCTAACACAGCAATGAATTTATGGGGATGCATGTTGCAGCAGTGTACCTCCAATCTCAAAAACAAACCACAAAATAATGCTTCTGAGAGAAATATTAGAAGGTATTGTTGTGCTGGAGAGATGGCTCAGAGGTTAAGAACACGGGTTGCTCTTCCAGAGGTCCTGAGTTCAAGTTCCAGCACCAGCATGGTGGCTCACAACCATTCCTACTGAGATCTGGTGCCCTCTGCTGGTCTCCAAGCAGACATACAGGGAGAACACTATATACATAATAAAAGAAATTCTGTCAAGAAAAACCAAAATGGAAGAAAAAAAGATACTTTAAAGAACAGTCACAAATTCCTGAAAAAAATAGGAAGACCCTATTAGTCATTTAGGATAAAAGATAGGCTTTAAAAAAATTCAACCAGAGAAAGTATAAATCAGGAGAGATTGATGACAATCTCTTAATGATTTTCAAAAATTGTTAGGAGATATTAACTGGCTACAGTCCCCAACTGGATTGACAACTCAAGAACTAAGTAACTTTTTAAAACCTGACAAGGTAAAAACAACTTAAATAGTTTAAGAAAATTATCAGCTGAGGCCGAGAGAGAACTGGGTTTGTTAGAAATGAAATTACAGGATGTGCATGTGGATCGATGGATCCTGAGCTGTACTGTATTCTGGTTCTTTTTACCATTACACACTCTGCCACAGGAATTCTTATGCAGAAAGAAGACAATATTTTAGAATGGACAGTTTTACCACACAGAGCAAAAAATTAAAGAGCTATGTAGAAAAGGTTTCTGAACTGATTCTAAAAGGAAAATTGAGATTTTATAAACTGTGGTGCCTTTTATTAATGTTGAAATTGCCTCATTATGGGCAGAAAATGAGCATTTTCTTGCAGTATTCTTTTCAGGGAGAGATTAGCAACATATAACACAAAAGCAAGAGATTTCATTTTATAGAAAGAACTAATAAGGATTCTCCCTGATATAATAAAAGAAATACCAACTTCTGGAGCCCCTACATTCTATACTGATGCAAATAAATCAGGAAAAACAGGCTCTAAGTCAGAAAAGTTAAGTAAAATGGCTCAAAGCCCTTATGATTCAAGTTAAAAGTCAGAATTATACGGGATTCTGACGGTATTAGATTTTTCCAGAACCTCTTAAAATAGTTACTGACTCTCAATATGCTCAAGTTTTACATATTAAAACTGCTGAACGTATTCCAGATGCTTCAGAATTAACTATAACAAAGTAATCAGAAATAGAAATCTTTCCTTGTACACAACACATATCAGACCCCGTAGGGGTCTACCAGGCTCTCGAGCACAGGTAATGATGGAATGGACCAGCTATTGGTAGGAAATGTACCAGACGGCTCAGAATTTCTTAAGAAACACCATGTTAACAGCAAAGGTTTGAAGGAAGACTTTTCTATCACTTGGCAACAAGCCAAGGAAATTATAATGAAGTGCCCTACTTGCTCTGTGTATAATGAAACTCCATTACCTATAGGAAGTAACTCAAAAAATACTTCAAGAATTTATATTTCAGGCTGGAGAGATGGCTCAGTGGTTAAGAGCACTGACTGCTCTTCCAGAGGTCCCGAGTTCAATTCCCAGCAACCACATGGTGGCTCACAACAGCCTATAATGAGATCTGGTGCCCTCTTCTGGCCTACAGGCAGGATACTGCATAAATAAATAAATAAAAATCTTTTAAAAAGATTGATATTTGGCAAATGGATATGTTTTATTTTACAGTTTTGAAAACTAAAATATGTGCAATGTACCATAGCTACATATTTAGGATTTCAATGAGCAACCACTGATTCCATAATTACACATTTATTAGAAGTCATGGCCATTATGGGTACATCTGTACAAATTAAGACTGGCGATGCTGTAGCACGTCTCTAGTAAAATGAAAGTTTTCGCATATTGTAATGTAACGCATATTACAAGTCTACCACACACTCCTATGGGATAAGCAGTTGTAGAAAGATCAAATTGTACTTTAAAAGATATGCTTAATAAACAGAAAGCAGTAATAAAGACTCCCAGAGATAGAGTACATGGTACTTGTTGGGGAAAGATTTTGCTTTTGTTTCCACAGAATCAGAAATGCTATGGATACTATCAAGATTGATAGAGATTAGATTCATACAGGAGAGACCTCATGATGAGGAGAGGTGACAGTTCATCAAAAGATTTGGTCATTCAATCAAAAAACTACCTTATAAGACTAACAAATGCTTTTCATCTGATCAGATTGGAAAAAAAAAAAACATTTCCAACAGGCTAAAATTTCAGACATCTTCCCAAATACTTGTTTCTGCTGTAAACCTATAGACATGTAAACCAAATGATCTATTTGTAGTCCCAACTCAATCAAAAACTAAAGCTGGCTTTGGAGTTGGAGTACTGCTCTCTTTCTATAAACCCAAGCATGGTTGCTAAAGAAAAATCTAAAGTCTCTGTCTCACGTCAGAAGAGCCACCTGGTATGGAACAGAAGAAAAAAAAAATTAAGTAACCATTCTATTGTCATTAATCTCATAATCTCTTGGGTTTGTTTTGATTCTTCAAAACTTTTCTTAAGGTATAAACATCTCAAAGTTTATTATAAATATACTATATATGTAGTATATATAAAATAAACTTTTTGTTGCCATAGTAATGGTCATATAGCATAACTAATTTTAGATCTAGGCTTCTAGCTTCCTGAAAATGATTTTAGACTTAAGTCTAAAACAAGTAATTAGGAACTAAGCTTGTGTATCCCAGACATATTTAATAAACCGGGGTCCTTTAACCTCTCCAAGATCTGCTGCATATGACATTTAAAATGTTGTTTCCCGCAGTGAACTGTGACCATTTCTAACAGCGACTATTGAATCCAAAAGAATGATGGGGTTCCACAAATGATGATTATACCTGAATTGTGATAAAGCCAATAAGCTGACAAACAACATTCAAAGATCAGCTTTGGACTGCAAACTGCTCAGGAAATTTCAAGGTGACTGCCAGTCCAGCCTAATAGACTACTCAGTCAGGTCTTCAGATGGGCCCTGCATTATCAATAACAGCAAGACGAACAGCTAGTTCTCTCAGGATTTGACCACTATCTTAGTTTCCCCAGACATCAGGAAGTAATTTTAGGAACACAATGCCCACATTTCCAATAGATAGGGTAGGTTGCTTTTGGTCAGTTGATGAGTTAGGGATGTTTGTCATTACAGGGGAATTGATTGTAAGTTGCCATCGGTCAAAAACAAGGAAAAACTAAACAAAGGAGATCAGATTTAAGGATCTCGTTCTGAAAAGAAAAAAGGGAACATAGATTTGATAGAATAAAAGGGTAATTATTGAATTTTCTTTTAAATTAAAAAAGCAAATATTAGTCTCAAACATTTATATTGGTATATTTTTGTATGTTGATACAAATATAAGGTTACTGATCTTATACTGTATATGTGTTTCTACTCTTGTTTAAGTTATTGTACCTATGCAGCTCACTTAGCAATCTAATATAAATTTCTAGTCCTTCAAAGTTATTATTAAAAACTACACAGGATAATTAAGAAATATAGATTAGTAGTCATCAAACAATCAAATTTGTAACCATGCTAGAAATGTTTTCAAGATCAAATATATATTCTAGATAGATAGATGGTCTTCAACTACTTCAGAGACCTATAGAATATCCATTTAAGATATTTTCATAACATAAGGCCTATTCTTGATAGTGAGACACATCTGCTCCTGGCAGCACCAAGTTACTTCAAAAAAGGACTGGGCATCAAAGAACCTCCACTGGAGTTTGTTTTCATTGCGGGCAAAGTAAGTCACTTTTGAAAGAAACCGTCCTTGCCTCAATTGCTGACAAGCATGCTATCCATACTGGACAAGTAGAACACAGGTACTGCTGAGCTTTGCCAGGACAAGATAAGACAGTCCTTCAAAATTTCCTGCTTCACAAAAGTCTGTCTGATATTCTAGGCTGAAGACTGGTGCCCCAATGATGCAGAGGAATCTTGGGATGACTGTCCAGGCAACCAGTTATCTCTATTATTGCTACAGTTTTGGAAGCTGTTTGCTCTGCAGTTCCTGTTTACTCAGGTAATATTGTATATATTTCGGGTTTCTGATGAAGTGGAAGACTAGATGATTACAGTAAGTTTTCCTTAGTTACTCTAGAAAGTAAATTAGGTACAAAAGTTTGGACACACCAAGTGTGGATAGATAATGTATTTTCTCTGAGTTTGCCAAATACAAATGGACTGGACATTGTGAATTTAATTCTTGCTTGAATATTGTTCTTACTGTATATAGTTTTACTTTTTTTAAGTTAATACCTTTTCTTTTTATATAGACAATACCTTATTGCATGTAGTTTTATTATGTTAGAGTTAAAACCTTATCTTTTTATTTAGACAAAAGGGGAAATTTGCAAGAGAACTTTCCACTCTGTCCCCTGAAACTGTCAATAAACTGAATCCTAATTCAGAGGACAGAGTTCATGCTCAGGCGACCAGAATAAGCCAGAGTTTTTTTTTTTTTTTTGGCTGACTCAGGTGGAAAAGGGACACAGGGAGGAAGGAGGAGGGGCTTAGGAGTTTTGCAGCCCTTTCTGGATCTTGGAAAAGCAGAGAGGAAGGTGAACTGGGCTTTTCTCTGTTGCTTTTGGGTTTAACAGATTCATACTCTACTATCTGACTTCTGGATTTTTATTAATAATAGAATAACTTAGATAACTGTCACACTGAATCCCATTTCCCATTTGAACAGCCATGCAGCACTCTACAGCAAACAAATATCTAATTCTGCTCACAGCACGTGGGGACTGGAAACCCGAATGACAGGTCTTACACTGATTTCATTGTTGCAATGCTGTAAAAGTATACGCTTTTCATTTCTTACATAAGCTGCACGTAATAACCATGTCCCTCACTGAAGCCAGTTTTAGGATGTACTATACCTGAATTTGTGTCACAGTTCCCTCAGAAAGTTCATCATCTGCCACCTCTGTGGTTGCCGTCATGGTCACCTCAAAGCTCTGCTCATTTTCTGAAACTTCAAGAAAATAATGATTCATCTCCACAATAATAATCATAGAAACTAATTATCCTAACGAAACCCACGGGGAGAATGTGATCATCTAATTTCCTAACATGCTTCTTAACAATACAGTGCATATTAATTTGCTTAATAGACACGAGTGCCAGGTAGGAAGGTCCTTCCATGGGGCTTATAGTCTAATAATAAACAAGATACGATAGTGGGTGACTCTTATAAGCCAGGGACAAAATAAAGCAGGAAAAGGAATGAGGTGAAGCGAAGCAGTATGTCTGAATTTTAGGTGAGAGCTGGGGGATAAGACCTGGGACAAAGGAAGAAGGCTGGTCCTGGCGGTGTCTTGCAGGAGGTGTCTGAAGGAATGAAAAGCCAAAGGCTCTGCAATAGGGCATGCTGGGAATGGCACAAGCACAACCAAGTCTACTGCTACAGCAGATGCGGTAAGAACAGAAGGAGACCGTGAGACCTTGTAGGCAACTGCAGAGATGACAACTTCACCTCGGAGACTAGAAAGCACAGGACGATCCTGAGCAGAGAAATGACACAGACACTTTGATTTCAACAGCACTGCTCTTGTTGCTGGGAGGAAAACACCTGAAGGGCAGAAGGGCTAGAGACATCGGAAAGAGGCTAATGCTCTAATGTAAGAGAGAACAGGGGTTTGGACTAGGTGGAACCATAAGTAGATCAAATTCTGAATAGTGATGATGGAACCAATGAGATTTGAAGACACACTAGACGTGTGGGAAATCGAAAAGTCAAGGATGACAGGTGCTTGTCCCCCTTCTTTAAGTACAAGCAACAAGAAGAACAGACTACTACTAAGCATTCGTGAATATTCAGGAAGTCAGTTTTAAATAAATAACTGAGATATTTACCAAATATCAAGAATTCAGGAAAACCCTGAAGGTGACTCTACTGTAACAGGTATGTCTAAGATAAGTCTGGTTAAAATACGTGGGGCTGTCATTACCAGAGAGAAAACCACCAAATAAGATCACCTAGGTAATGAGTAAGAACAGAAGGGGCAGTCTAAGCACCAGGTCTGAGTGCTGGAGTGTTCTGTATTTAAGAGTTTGGTGGATGCGCACAAGTCAAACTAAAAGATGGACATGTAGAAAGAAAACCAGAGAGAGGTGTTTCTAGAAGCCAGTAACGAGAAAAACTTTTGACAGATTAAGACAAAAATCACAAGATCTCTGGAGACCCAGGAAAAAGTTTTGGTAAAAGATGAAACCCTGGGATGTGTTAAGGACAAAAAGACACGGAGGCAAGGACAGGCTATTGGACAGTGGCCAAAAATGGCTTCAGGGATTCAGTTTACAAACAAATGTGTTTATACTGAGGGGGGTCATCCAGGTAGAGGATGAGCCACTAGTGATTTAGAAGTCAGACGTAAGAACTACATCTGAGTACGCGAAGACGTGGAGCTGGTACATGGAAAAGCCGCAGCTGGCCGGTGAAGACCAGGATACACAGACACAGGTAAAGACAGGTGTGGCAATGGAATGTACAGGTATTTTCTCACTAGTTCAATTTCCTCTGAAAGAGAAAGCAAGCATGTCTCGGAGTAAGAAAGGTGAGGTATCAGATTTTGGGACATGAAACACTGATCTCAGAGTGAACAAGAGTTGTTGTGACTTGTCCTGATAGATCACATATCCCATTTGTGAGGGCTACAAAGCCAAGCCAGCTTGTTCATTCTGCCTTTCTCTAAGACCATTTGATTAGCTGTGTTAATCATAAATAGGCAAAACCAAATTTAGATGGGGTTATAGCTTAAGCAAAGAACAACAAAAGAAAAGAAGGGAAAGGCATCTGAAGGTAACTGCAAGACTGAATATAATGAGCAGTCACAACACTACCACTGGGTGAGGAGAAAGGAAGGACCTGGTGCAGAAAGAACAATGAGAAAGTGGCATGACCGTGGGCCCAGAGCTGAAAGGGATCACAGAGCACCACTACAGAGGGACTGAGCTGGAGCTGGGAGCAACAGGACACAGGTCTGAAAGATCACAAATGCACAGCAGCAAGTGACTCAAGAGTGGTGACAATGGAGCAACAATGGAGAACAAAGAGCGAGGGACTGGGGTCTCAAAAAAAATCACCGAACGCACAGGCAATGACCGTGACCATGAGTAAGGAAGGGCATACATGCCTGGCATACATGCACTGGCCTGAGTAACGCACAGGCAATGACCGTGACCGTGAGTAAGGAAGGGCATACATGCCTGGCATACATGCACTGGCCTGAGTAACGCACAGGCAATGACCGTGACCGTGAGTAAGGAAGGGCATACACGCCTGGCAGGCTGCACAGAAGCAGTGAGCTAGTGACTAAACTGAGGTGATTTTAGCTTCTGCTTTAGAAGGACGTAAAACTTGCGTCTCTAGTTAGATATACATCTTAATGCTAATCAACCTGTATAAAGTCTAACACATAAGTCTTTGTTTAGTGAGATGTAGCATTTCAGGTTTCTACCGTAGCCTTTATCTCTAAGTTATCCACTCCCCTGCACAGGGAACGGCAGTCTTCTTCATCACAAAACACCGCAGTCTGCCCCCTCCCCACTCCATCCACCGTTTTACTCCCTACCTCCAAAAATTCTATTTCTTCAGCTTCCTAGGCCTGGCTTACTTAACCTAAGATACGCTGTTGCTTTAGCCGCAGCACTTTATTCTTTTACGTCCAGATTAATATTCCACACTGTCCACAAGCCACATCTCCTTCCTCTGTGTGTGGACACAGGCTGAAGCCACATCCTGGTGACTGTGGACAGTGCTATAATCATGGGTATGTGAAATGCAGGCATTTCCTGATAGATTACCTATCAACTCTACTCCAGGAGCCATCTTCATGCTGTTTTCCAGAATGGCTGTACGTATACTTCCACCAATAGTGTGAAAGAGGCCTTCTTTTTCTGCACTTCTATAAACATTACAGCCATTCTATTTGGCCTGAGATGATCTATCTCATTACCCATTATTGGTCTGTTCAAATGTTCTGTCTTCAATGCTTCAACTTTGGTATTGATATATGTGTCCATAAAACTTATTCACTTGGAGGTTTTCCCATTTATTAACTAGAGTCCTTTAAAAATATTGGTATCACTAATTCTTCATATTTCTCTTGTATCAATTATAATTTTTCATTTTGGTCTGATTTTTGAGTGTCTTTTTATGAACAGTCTAGTGATTTATCAATACAAGCCATATATATGCTTTCCCCAAATGAGCTTTTATATTGGCTTTTCAGGATTTTTTTTTTTTTAAAGATTTTTTAAAGATAGATGTCCTTCTGATTGTGGTGAAGGAGTCTCTCAGCACTACAAAGCTGCAGTGGCCAACAGAAATGGACCGTCTGGTTTAGCTTGTTTGGAAAGGCACTTTTCATTTCTGAATGCTAGGACTTTGCTGAACAACGTATTCATGTTGTTACTGATCACACATATTTATTTATTTGTACAATTTAAATGTCTATTCTTTTTCTGGCCTTTAAGAGTTCTGTGGAGAAGTCTGCAGCTAGTTTAGAAAAGATCCCACATATGTTGGCGCTCTCGTCTTGGGCCTTTGTTAGTTTGACATAACATACCTCAAAAAAGATCTTTCTTGAATGAATCTACTAGAAATCTCTGAGGTTCTTGGACCTGGATGTATATAGTAACTGAAGACTTGAAAAATATTCAACTGTTGCTTTGCCAAATCCATTTGTATATATCCATTTCCTTCTATTATAAAATACTAATAATAATATCATTTGTTTAACCTCAGGTCTTACAGCCGCTTTCTTCTTTTAATCTAAGTTATTTCTAAACAACTATTATAACTTCAAGCTCAGAAACACAGACTCAGAGGTCCTTCCTCTGTTTCATCTAGTTTGTTTAAGTTCTATTATATTTTAAAATTTCATTTATTATATTATTTAGCTCCAAAGTTTACATATTTTAATAATACACCTTTGCTGAATTTTTTATTTAGAACAAAAGGTACCTTCCTAATTTCATTCTCTTATGTTTTACTGAATTAGGATTATTATTTAAACTATCAAAAAGGCAGTTTTTTTTCTTTGAACTTGCTTTCTTTAGCTATGTTCTTTTGGCAGTAACGTGTTACCTTACTTTTCATGTCGTTCTACATACATCCATTACATTTTTAAATCTGCACATTAAGTTGTTCTTACCAGGTTTACAGGTAGTGGAAGTTTTTCCCCCCTGGAGATGTGCCCTAAGGCACTGGATGGGTGGACTACTTTGGTTTGGGTTCCAGGGAGATACAGTAGTCAAATGTTTATGTAACTTCCTCAGCTGTAACCAGTATTTGTAATACCTATGGGTGACTTGGTGACCTAGACCACAGGGTATAAGTGGGATCACCCTACCTGCTAACATGCAGCTCTCTTAGTTAGTGATAGTTTGCCAGTGAACCAAGGCACCATGAGCTGCTCTCGGTTTTTGTGGGTGGATGCAGTCAACTATGATGAAGGCACTACGGTCCCTTCTAAGCAAGATGCAGCCAGAGTGGTTATGGAGGGAAAGCACCTGCTAATTTCTAAAGGCCACACGGAAACACATCTACTCCTGTAGGCCAACATATACTTGGTGGTGTGACAGAGTGCTAACTGATGACAGAGATAAGTGTACCCTGGCGAGCACAAGGAAAAGAATGCCCTTCATTGTATACAAACTACAGTTACCTTCACAAAACTACAGGGGGCGACCTGCTTGCTTTCTGGGATGGTGGGTAGGACCAGCTGGCTGCTTTTGTGCCTCAGCTTCATAGGACAGGCAGCTTAGCTACTCTCAGAGCCAAAGGCTGAGGGGCCAATGGCTAAACTTTGTGACTTTACTGTAGCTCTTACTATTTTTCTTTTAAAGAGAAACCTTCCTAAATTAAGTTTATCAACGATTCTTACAAATATGGAGAACATATACTCAGAGACCAGCTTATTAAGTTCTCCATGAGAGGAACAAACTGAGTATCACAAGCACGATAGTGTCAACATCTCTATGTTTATCAGGTGATGAACAAAGACGTAATATCACAAAAATGGAACACAGTGCCAAGTACAGAGTGAACCTATGATTATGAACAAAGTATTTAAATAATGAACTAACTAGTCATAATTTCGCACAAAAGATTGTTCAAAAACTTTGCCTTATAAAATATCCACATAGGATTGTATCTGTGTAGATAGGCCAACTAAGCTTTAAGATCCAGTGACAGACACAGTAGGAGCTATTTAAAAACACGAATCGACAGGAAGAAACTTCATTTAGTTCCAAATTTTAGGCATGAATATGTTATACTTGAAAACTAATACTAGCCTTAACAGTTTTTTAATCCATAGTAAACTGAAATAAAACGATTTATTTTCTGTTCAATTTAAGAAATAATTAGTTCTGTGCATACAACTTGCTAAGATATAATTTTCCATGCTAAAACCTAGTCTTAATGTAAATCTAGGTAAAGATATTTCATTTGATGCTGATATGTAAAATCAGAAATCTCAAAAATGGCAATTTGTGTTAAAAGTGGCATCAACAGATGAAGGCATCGCTCTGGCTTTATAGGGACAGGACTCCAGATTCTTTCCTAGGCAAATCAGAAACATGATCTAGTGCTGTTGCTGGTATGCCTCTGCCAATGGCACTCCGTCTGGAATCTAGCCTGCCTTAAAGGTTGTTAAGACTCTAACCATACTAAACCACACTAGGATTAAGTAAATGAGGCACCTACCAAACTTCTATGCAGGTGGGCAAGAGGCTAAAGCATGTGCTAGAGGAAGCAGAGTACCTGCAAATGTCTGAACATGCTCTCTCTGAGCCTCACTTTCTTCATCCCCATGTAGGAGTGAATGGTAACAGTATCTATTGTACAGCATGATGGGCTGGGGGAAGATGCAGTTTAAAAACCTTATACTCTTGAACAAAGCAGGGCAAACATACATATTCATATCAGTTTAAAAAATGAAGAGACTCTCAGTATAGTTAAGACAGAATACTCAGTAAAATTATTTCTTTAAAAGGCTCATTATAAAGCCTACAGCAGCAGGTTGAGAGTAAAGAAGTGTTGAACAGATTGGACATATCTACTTAGCGGTTGGTATATAATGAACACGCTTTAAGCATTTGTTTAAAAACAAATTTTTTGACTAGGTAGAGTTCAAGTCTCCCTAGAGATGCCAACTGACTGGTGCAAGTTAAAATCTAATTCAGAAGGTGCCTCTGTTATAGCAGACTTACGTGGGACTGCAACAACTGATATGCAAGGCGTAGAGTCGTCAATGCTCTGGTCATCCTCAGAGGACAGACAGAGCCTCTTCTGCGGAGGTTCAGTACTATCTTCCGAGTCTATTTCATCAGGGTCTAGCGGAAGGGGAAAAGAAACCAGACAAAATGCTCAGAAACCACAAATAGACAAAAATCTGTACTTAGTATAGAAATTTCTGCAGCAATTTTCTTATCTACTAAAATCATCCTTCTATCCACCTGCTCACTTAAATTCACTTAGCTACACAAGGACTCAAAGAGCGTCGCTTTCTCCTTGCTTACAGTAGTACGCAGTCCCTGTTCTTGTGAAGGACAAAGTGCCACCTTCTAACTTGGTTTTCTAAAGATTTAACACACAAAGAGAAGGACTGGTATTGGGTTCATTCAAATATTTACTAAATGCCTAATGTCTAAGTGCCTGGAACAGGAAAATGAAGGATACCCTATGCAAGAAGGATACCTCATAAAGGAAGGCTACGCCGTGAAGGAAGGGTACTCACTCTATGAAGGAAGGGTACTCTATGAAGGAAGGGTACCCCATGAAGAAAGGACACCCTATGAAGGAAGGGTACCCCATGAAGAAAGGACACCCTATCAGGAAGTTACGGGGTGGTGGCATCTAGTGAACAATTTAAAAACGGTGTATTCAGAGCTGTGACACTGGAATGGGGAGGTCATGAGCGCACAGAGGAAACACATTCCGAATGAAGGTGAAGCGAGGGTTCTTGAGGAGGCATCATGAACTTGAGAAAACAAAAAGAAAGCAAGGAAGCATGTTTGCTTCTCTTGGCAGTAGCACAAAGTGCAGTGGAGCTGAAGAAATCAAAAGATGCTAAGAAAATAAAACAGTGAACTATTAGGACATAATCACATGACCAGGGACAACTGTGGCAGAAGAGAAGGCTAGCAGAAGAAAATGAAGTAGCAAAAGTGCCCAAAAATCATTGTAAGCTTTCAAAACAGCACTAAGAAATGGAAAAACTGCACAAAAGGCCAGAGTTAGGCAGATGAGAAAGAGAATCTGATCTGACAAAGGGGGATCCACAACAGGGACAAACCAAGTTTACAGCAGCATACTAACAGCATATTAGCGTATTCTGAACCATGACCAGACTATAAGTAGGAAGTAAAGTGCAGTCTGGGAAGTGTGTGGAAAGAACTGCTTGGGACATGCAAAATTTAGTTATAAAGACAGAAATATGAACTATCAAAATAGGTAGATGATAGCTAAAATGACTGAGTGAAATAATAGAGACTACAGAGTAATAAGACAGAAAGATTAGTAAAGAATGAACACACATACACACGTACAAAAAAAAATCATGTTTCACAGACTTTTGAATCTTAATTCACCAGAAGGATTATATAAATTTTGATCAGTCACATAAAATCCTATTTCCTATATTAGCATCAATCACTCGCAGAACTACTTCTCAGTGTTCTAATGTGTCAAATATACCTCTAGTAACAAATAATATAAAAATGTATTATAGCTATTCCACTATCTTCAGAGACTTACATCCCATATAAAAATGGCTACTAGAATAAAAAAATATTAAGGTATTTATAAAACACAACATATAAATTAAGATTAATCTATAATCCAGAGATACCAGAACTATGTGTGTAGGTGACAAGACAATGGAATTGAGACACCCCAGTTTCAATTATAGTCAGCAAAGTCTCCTACCATTCTGAGGGCAATGAAGAATGAGGTTCCCGTCTGTGTCCTGAGTAAACGTCACAGAGTTCACAGTTTCTACTGTTACTGTGCCAGAATCCTCTTCAACTGTGCTCATACTCAAATCTGCATGAGAAGAGGCTACTTAAGGACTTAAAATAAAATAATCTTTCCAGACAGTACATGAAATCGATCTAGGTATCTGCTTAGTCTTCATAAGAAACTACAAAGGAGTTCAGATTTCAGAAACCACCTTTCAATAACCACTATTTAGAATCAGGTTCAATAACCTACAAGAATCTGACCAACCCAGATTAACTCACAACAACTTTCTTACAATATTAACTTTCTGTGATGACTAACCTTGAAATTTAGAACCGCCACAGAGAAGCCTGTAGGCATGGTTATAAGGAGGAGTTGGGAAAACAGACGTAACCCCGTGGGCAGGGGCTCAGACTAAGAGGAGAGAAAGCTGCTCAGCAGCACTATGGTGTTTCTCTCTTCCCACTGAAGACAGAATGCGGATGCATGTGACCAGCTGTCCCACACTCTTGCTACCGTGTCTTCTTTACTGTGATGGACAGCACTCTGACTTCAGGCAAAAAGCCCTTCAAATCCATTTAGTAAGGAATTTCGTTGCAGCAATACCCTTTCTTTGCTTTTACAGTTATTTTTTTTAACTACAGCCAAAAAAAAAAAAAAAAAGTTGAAGCTGTTAATCAGCAGAACTCTTAGCAATTTTTAATATTTTTACCGGTAGCTTTTGTACTATGTTCTCACAAGCTTTCTGCCATCTGACTCTTTTGTTTGTTAAGGCGGACACAATGGTGATTGAACTCAGACCTTCCTATTTATATTCGGCCAATGATCTGCCACTGAACTAGATTCCAAACCTGCTATCTTTAGCAAATTAAGCAAAACTTCCATCTTGATCTAATAATCATTATTCATAAAACCCTATTATGAGTATTTAAGCCGTTACCTGAAAAATAAGAACATCAACCAAACATTTCTGTAGTTAGTAGTAATGGGGTTGGAACCTACATTTTTGTTTGTTGAGACAGGGTTTCTCAGTGTACAGCCAGGGCTTTCCTGGAATTTGCGCTGTAGACCAGGTTGGCTTCATACTCACAGAAGATCTGCCTGCCTCTGCCTCCCAACTGTTGGGATCAAAGGCATCACCATCCCCGAGCTTTTTTTTTTTTTTTTTTGATGTGTGTTTAAAGTGTCCTTACTTGCTGCTTTATATTTAACACAGACTGAAGAATTGGAGTCTTAGAACACAGTCACTATCTTGTGGCTGGATAAATATACTGCTACCAATGACATGGTTGACATCTTTAGCATTTTACAAATCAGTTTGTGTCTCAAAAGTGTTTCTCTCACATACCTTTACCGATTAATATAGACAAAAGTCTTGTGTGTGCTTAATTAATCATTCAGTATTTGATATAGGTATTAGTCCATTTACACACCGGTTACTATTTAAACAAGCATTTGGTAAAAAATACTTTGGCAACACAGACAACTACATTCATATTTACATGGTAAAGATCCAATGAGTAACATAGGTTTACTATACAAAAGACCACAATTTTCAAGATAAAGAAGAATGGGAATCATGATGCAGCAGGGTCAACCACTGGGTGGGTTTTCACAGTAAAGCGGGCTTACCTAGACCACGGATGGATTAGCTACAGCCCTTCCCATAGAATCACGTCTCCGTGCTCTGGCCAGCAGCATCACTCCCAGGTCATCCAGACTGCTTCTCCTCCATGCCTGTGCATCTGCAGCACTCTGAAACAGTGACAGCATCACAAAAGGCTTAATACAAACAAGAACAAGTAGTATCTGAGCACTGGAAATAATGCTGCTGCATGCTGGCCTCACACCTCTGATGCCTCACCCCGAGGAGTGAAACAGAGGCACAACTTTCTTCTGAGTACATTTTATGGAAGTCAGCCTCAAAACCAGTCCAGTGCGATAACGTAAGAGCTCATAGGAAGTTTCTCAACCCAAGCTGTCACTCCCCAGTTAGTTGTCCTCTGAAAACATAGACTGAGATATACAGTGGTTATGGTAGACCTTGGAACCATTGTGCAAACTTATCTCCTATGAAAAACTAACATTTCCAGCTCACGTGCTCTTTCATAATGACTTATTCACATCTCTAAAATACCCAATTTTATCTTAAAAATAGGTATGCAAGTTGTTTTTAAAGACACCTAGAAATTGGAGAAGATGGCTGAGATCCTAATTCGAGAGCACCCTTACTATGGAAGTCAAGAGGCAGACAAGGTGCTGGCTTAGGTGAAGAGCATCTGATGCTCTTCGAGAGGACCTGGGTTCAGTTCCCAGCAACCACATGGCGCTTTATAACCATCTGTAATCAGTTCTAGGATCCAGCACGTTCTACTTGCCTAGTAGTATACAGACATACATGCAGGCAAAAAGACTCCTAAAATAAATCAATCTTTAAAAAAAAGAGCAAACAGGAAGAAAAACAGAGGAGACTGAGGACTAGCTGGTGATACAGAAGGAAAACTGAGACATGCTCAATGGGCATTAAAATGATTAACTGTCAGTAAGATGACGGAGTATTTATTTGGTCTGGCAATATGGAGAACACGCATTACCTTAAGAAGTAATTTTAGTGGACTGGGAGCAGATGGCAAACAGAGAAACCAACATACAGAAGACTCACTTTGAAGATAAAGAGAATAGGAGAAGGAAGTGGGCTCAACACAGTGTTAAAAGATTATTTATGGCTTTACAAAGACAAATATTGATGAATAAATCTAATTAGTCATTTAGTGCTTTTATTGAAACTCATTAGACGAAAAATCATGCTTGACATTGGAACCCTTTCACACCAACACTACTTGGAACCTGCTCAGACCCTTACCAAATCATCGGTGGTCTCACTTTTATACCAATTAAAAATGAAAGAGCACGATGAAGGAAAGACGGACAACATTTTAACTGGCAAACTGACATTCTGCTATATTCCCATCATTTGATGGATTAGCTTGAAACAACAAATACCTTAATGAACCCAAGAAAAAAGAACCCGTAAATGGCATAAAGCATTTATTCTTACATATGCTCGCATTTGAAAGATAAACCTTTCACTTATAGTTCCAAATAGAGATGACGGGGGAGGGAGGCACGCAGTAGGGTCTCACGATGGAGCCCAGGCCGCCCTGGCTCTGCCTTCCTAGTACTGGCATGTTTCTGTCACCATGCTGAGCCAAGTAACCCGACTCATTAGGCTACAATAACCTGGTGGAACAAGAAGGGATAAGTACGACAAAGTAACATTTGATTTTTAAAGTCAAAATGAAAAAAGAATTAAGTTGCTCATGCTCCTCTTCATTTCAGTATTGACCTAAAGTTCTGAGGGTCACATGTCCATCGGGTATAAATTTTGGGGCAGCTAAGTGTCAAGAATCTTAAAAGAAAAAGGAAAAAAAATATCAAAAAAATGTCATTTCTTCCTATTTTAGAAGTCAACTCTATCTAAGCACACACTACTGGTGGTGATCATGAGAAGCTGGAGGCAACATAGTCTGTCTGACGCTACATGACAGAGATTGTTTAGCTTCAAAACTGGAAAATGGAATGCAGTTATATGGCACAGGAAAACTCACTAAGAGGATATTCTTAAAATGGGAAATACAGAACACCACAGAGAGTTGTAACTTAATGCAGCAAGAACATATTTAATTTTTGAGATTTCCTGAATCAATATAGTATTAACAATCATCCACTTCTCTTTAACATTTTAATAATTACCTTCCAGATTTTTAGTTTACACACACGCAGACACATATCAGTGTCTTAGTTTGGTTTCTATTGTTGTGAAAAGACACCATGACCATGGCAACTCTTATAAAGAAAACATATAATCGGGGTGGCTAGCTTACAGTTTCAGAGGTTCAATCCATTACCATCATGAAGGGGAACATGGCAGTATGCAGGCAGATGTGGTACTGGAGAAATAACTGAGAGTCTTACATCGTGCAGGAAACAGGAAGTTGACTGACAATAACACTGATGTAAGTTTGAGCAAAAGAGACCTCAAAGCCTGTCCCCACAGTGACACACTTCCTCCAACAAGGCCACCCCTCCTAATAGTACCACTCCCTTTGGGAGTCATTTTTTTTTCTCTAACCACTACATTCCACTCCGTGGCCCCAAATGCTTATTGATGTATTACAATGCAAAAATACATTCAATCCAACTTCAAAAATCCCCATAGGCTATCCCAATCTCAAACTTGTTTCAAAGTCCAAAGTCTCTTGAGACACATGGCAATCTCAACTGTAATCCCCCTATAAAGATCAAAACCAAAAAGCAGATCATATACTTCAACATAATGGCATAGGATATGTATTACCATTCTGAAACACAAGGAAGGGAGCACAGTGAAGAAATACTGGTGAAAAGCAAGACCAAAAGCCAGCCAAGTAAACTCCCAACTCTGCAGCCCCATGGCTGGTGTAAAATGTTCTTTAGATCTCCAACTCTTCCAGCTCTGTTAAGCTTTATTGACTCTAACACACTTCCTTCTTTGGGCTGGTTCCATTCCCTGCTAACAGCTCTCCTCAACAGGTAACCCATGACTCGGGCATATTTGGTTTGATATCTTGGGGTCCAAGGCAATCCAGGCTGTACCTCTATACTAGGCCTCCATTCAGAGACACCCTGACACATGCCTGGCCTCAGGGTTTTATTTTTTAACTCCTTCCTCCTATCCTTAACTCTAAAATCAGAAACAAGTGGCTGAAGCTGTCAAGTTCTGCTGCTGGCTGAAGTTGGAACATGGCATGCTTATTCAATTAAATCTTCACCAGCTGTCTTTCACCAACTAAGATTGCTTGTCCTGAAACTTGCTCTGTAGACAAAGGAGACCTCAAACTCTCTGCCTTCCTAGAACTGGGATTAAAGGTGTGCCCTAGCACACTTAGCTCCCAAACTTTTCTTCAGTCCCTTTTCACAAATTGGAAAGTAAGCTGGGCTGAGATCTTGCCTTGAGATCACCACTCTGTTTATAACATCTCTTAATCCATTTACCTCCTCAAACAGAGGATTTAGCTCCATCCCACATCCTGGTGTCCTTTTTCTCAAGTATTTTTCCTTGCTCAGCTCGCTCCTTCTCATTATATATCTTCATTATAGTTACCACCAGTATCCAGAACAGTCTATACTAGGCTGTCTTGAGATTTCTTACAGTGGTATATTGTGTTTTAATAAATAGAAGATCGAGGGCAAAGTAGTCATACTAGTGAGCCATACAGGCCAGGGAATGGTGCCACACACCTTTAATCCTTGGACTTGGAAGACAAAGGCAGGTAGATCTCTGTGAGTTCAAAGCCACCCTGGGTTATACAAGATTTAATCTGTCTAAAAGAGGAACAGCTCACAGAAAGGTGCACCCAGCACTAGGGATCACACATCTTTAATCCCAGCACTAAAGAGGTGGAGACAGGAGCTATATAGCTGGGCAGAGAAGAATATAAATGGGAAGAGACAGGAACTCAGCAGAGTGAGTCTGAGGTTGGTGGAGAGCATTGCAGGATTGCCCCATTGTCTGAGCCTTGGTAGAGGTAAGAAATCTCAATGGCTGGCTATTTTGCTTTTCTGATCTTCAGCTTGAACCCCAATATCTGTCTCTGGGTTTTTATTATTCATACTACAATTTCTTCCAAGCAATCAATCCTAAACTCTTCACTTTAGCCTCAGGCAGACTCTTTAGATAAGGGCAAAAAGTAGCCAGCCACCTCTTTCACCAAACTATGGCAAGAGTAACATCTTCAGGAGTACTGACTATTCCAGCAGGGAACACTCTGCACTTGAAGAATGCTTTAGAAATGGTTCTGAAGTGAATCAGATGGCAGCACCTCGCCTTGGGGCATAGGGTTAAGAGTTAAGCATTGTGAAGCACCATTAATTGTAAGGGTAAATGTACACTGTAAGCATCCTTTTCAATGGTTATTTTTCCTTCAACTAACTCAAGATGTAGGCAGTGTGAACAATTTGACTCTCCAATTAGACAAATGTTAGACCCGTCTTCTAGTGCCCCTATTACTCGGAGCAAAGGACTGCCAACTGCATATCCAGCTAAATGAGTTATGGCACCATTCAACATTCTACAGATAGGTGCTTTCAGAAACCAACCTGCTTGCTCAAGTACAACCTCCAAACTTTTGGCCATCACAAGCTTTGATGAACTCCCCGTGTCCCCACAGCTGTTCCTATCCAGGCCACAAGGGGAGCACCTCCCCTGGTGGTCCAGCTAAAGGCCTGTTGTGGCTATCAGCAGAGTTCGTCATTTGTATAAGGGGCTTTGCCCTGCCTAGCACAGACATTTCTGTGTTTGCATGGGCTGCTGGGAGATGTGCTCCTTTGCTACCACCTGTGTGCATCATTAGGTCCAATAAAACGCTTCTCCAGTGTCCTTCTCTTACTTTTTATGTTAACTAGGACAAGCTCAGTTGGTTACACACAAAAAAGGGAAAATTAAAAGTCCAGGCACAAGTGGAGGCAGTGACAGTCAGAAGTAAGGAGACCTGAAGGGTTCCAGAGTTAATGGCAGAAATAACAGGGAGCAGAGATGAGAGCCACCAAGGGCCATCAAGACATGAGGAGAGTCCCAGGAAGCTGCCAAGGGTCTCAAACTTTCTGGGCATTGAGAACTGTCAACACTAGTCACTGTCATCAGGATGAAGATCTCATTCATCTTTGCTCTAGTCAAGGGTCTCAGCACCCAAAATCTGTAAGCGAGCTCTACTATTAAGAGCATTACCTGCCTCTGCCGTTTAAGACTGCCCAAACCTACAGATTACAAAAGCTGCTGTGTTCTGGGGCCACTGATAGTTAATGCCAGGAGCAATGAACTTCTAACCTGATGGCCTAGTAGAGCTTCAGTCTTGTGTTAAAATAAAAGCCTGGAGCAATAGAACTATATTGTTCGGGGCTCATAACTGTTATACATTTGGTTTGTCAGTCCAGACCCTAGGTCTTGGTTACTCCAGGACCAGCAGTGCTGGCAATGGAAGAGTCTCCTTGCCTACCCAGGACTCATATCCAGGCAGAGCAAAAGATCCCCTGCTAGCAGTAACAGCTCTGAACCCCTGGGAACACTTTTGTAACTTCATGGGAAAGTTTGTAAAGTAGATTAAGATAAAGAGTATTAAATTAAGGTACATGATTAATGGCTTCACTAAACAATGGTAAACAGCCAGATGGTGGTGGTGTCTGTCTTTAATCCTAGTACTCTGGAAGCAGAGGCAGGTGATCTCTGTGAGGTTGGAACCAGTCTAATCTACAGAGCGAGTTCCAGGACAGTCAGGATGGTTATACAGAGAAACAGTTTTGAAAAACAAAAACAACAAAAAGATAGTAAACAAATACTACACATCATAAAGTATCAGTAAATTTGTTAATGGAGTTTAATGTAATGCTTCAATTATCAATGATGCTGTAATTGAATAAAGTGAATTATATGGTAATACAGATCATCTGGAGGGTCAAGATTTCATACCTGGCAATAAAACTGTACTGCCTATCTGATCTAAGAGCTTATGTGTTTGGTTACACTGTAAGATAGTATCCTTTCAAAACACCATTTTTTGTAATACACCATCTGATTTTTAAATACAAATTATCACCAAGTTCTTTAGTTTATTGAAAAATCACATTTTCTTAACAAATACTAAAACACATCAGGCAGCGAATAGACCTAATATACATTTCCTCTGCACAAAGCCTTACAGAGAGGGAACAATAGCTCTAGACACCAAGGCTGGAAGGAGTGGGCTGACTGAATACACAGCCAAAACGATCCTTTAATAAATATGATGTAGGAAGTTTACACAGGCCCTTCCAATACGCTTCTTCTTGACAGCTTCTCTCTGGATAATCATGGACCGGGCTACCTCCCCATAAACTTGAAAAATGCAGACACAATAGGTTCCTTTTATTGAAACTGAACCAATTTACCTTTATGGTATCAAGGCAGACAAACCTTGTGATTTTATTAATTTTTATTACAAGAATTCTCTTCACAAAATAAAAACCACCATTAAGATAAACGGAGACAGGACAACAACTTCACGTGCCTCTGGGCTTCAGTAAGCATCTGGCTTAGTTACAGACTACCTTTGTTAAACTGCATAGCATTTATGTTTATGAATTCCCAGTCTTTTCAAGCAGAGAACGCTCTAACACCTATGGCAGAAAGAGAATGTAATCACAGTAAAATGAGAACCCAGACTGAGGAAGGCAGTACTAAGCAGACGGCCTCTACCAAGGCTCTATGTGAAGTTCAGTTATGTGGAGTAGACGCTGATCTGTGGGCTAAGGCGGGACACCACTGAACCCTCCCCAACACCAATGCTTATCTAAAGCTTTGATGTGTTTGCAACACAGATCAAAGTTTCAAGTAAGTCACCCAGTTCTCTAATATTTTCAAAAGCACCAGGCTCTATCCTTAGTCTAATATCTACAGTCAAGATATACATACTTAGGGATGTTTGTTTTTTGTTAGGTGTATGTATCCTCAGAGATGTTAATTTAAGTCACTGCATCAATAGACTAAGACAAAATCTGTGGAGCTTTCTGAAAATATCCAGTCTTTGAAGAGACTAAACTTCTGCCAGACCTTGATGCCAAGCTAATAACATGCCCTGAGATCATTTAAGACTATGGACTTAGTCTGTTGTCCTACTGTGTGCTCAGTCTGCTTAATCCTGCCTTTATGAAAACACAGTAACCAACTTCATGAAGCCTTGGATTAACATGCAATTAGCTTTTACAACCTAAACTAAATGCATAACTTTAATCTTGAATTAGGCACTTGTCCATGCCCCTGACCCAGAAAAATTTGTGTATGCTGTGATAATAATCTGCTGAAAACAATCAACAGGTCAAAACTAACCCTAAACAAAAATAGTCACCATAAATGTTAGATGCTAAACGTAGATATAGTTTCATAACAAAGTTTGGTTTTGTCATTCTGGGTCAGTAAAGCAACTTCTTCCCTTGTGAAACTGTTTCTATAAAAAGGTATCCTCATTCTTTCCCATACCACATTTTCTGTGCTCTTTAATAAACACAAAGCAAAGTCCTTTGTTAGGGACAGACACAGAATGGCACAGGCAAGCACAACTTTAAAAAAGGAAACACAGGAGGACATTAGGAACTATTTCTCTGACACATTTTACGGTCAGGCTCAAACTGTAAGTCCAAAACTTTGATATCCTCATTTAAAAATATTAAAACCTGAATACTCAGAGAAAAAGGTTAATGCTGTATGTAGTCTCTAAACTGCTAAAGATACAGATTTAAATTCTTAAGAAGCATGCAAGGCTCGGGACTTTCTGAATAAATGCTGAAGACAAAGGGAAAAAAGTAACATTTTTTTCTAAAAGCAGCAGGGGGCTCTACTATTTATCTCAATGGCAATCAACAAAACAGATTCAGAACAGGTAGTAGAATTTCTAGATAATTCCACCAATAGTTTGTGACAAGCCTATCAAGTAAAATAATGAAGAACATTAGCTTGTTTGGTGGTACACAAAAACATCTGGGGAAAGAGGTAAAGTAATGGGATAAAATCATAAAGACCCTCCTAACCATAACAATTTTTTCCATATAGGACTAAACTATTATATGTAACTCCTGACTGGGGTGGAGTGGCACTGTTAGCCCCTCACCAACTTAAGTGTAAAATTTTTTTAAGTGCAATTAAAAATTTTTCTAATCTTAGCCAAATATACATAATTTATCACTAGTTTATCACAGTAAAATCAGACTTTGTTTTGTTATTATAGTTGCAGTTTTAAATGTTACAATAGTAGTCATCTGAAACTAGCTTAAAGAAATCTTAAGTACAAGAAAAAGAAAATGGACTTCATATTTATAAAACTTTCAACATAATCAAAGGTTCTTCCTTGATTTGCAGCCTTAAAGGCACAAGTTAATTACAAAATAAAAACAGTTCTAATAAAAGTCTCAAATTGCACTGTATCTACCTTAAGACATGAAATATTTCAAGCTGTACTGAAATGCTTCTTTCTTTCTATAAAGTCTCAAATGGAAGTCTTGCTGTCAGAAAGGGGTACAAGATCTGACAAAAGCAATCGCGAAAATTCAGCCCGGGAAAGGGAGAAGTGTATTTCTCACCCTTTCCTTAGCTACACTGAGTCTTTTACTAAGAAAACATATGCTGTATCATTCAACAGCACAGGATGGCACTGGACCACTTCTCTCGGAGTTAAACTAAACACACACACACACACACACACACACACACACACACACACACACTTCTTCCTAGAGCACAGGGATGGCACTGGACCACTTCTCTCGGAGTTAAACTAAACACACACACACACACACACACACACACACACACACACACACACACACACACACTTCTTCCTAGAGGACCAAACAGGCTTTACCCCTAAGGCTTGCTCGGCACGATCTGGTCAATGACTTCTCGGCTGGGCTAGGTAGGGTTCCCCCCGTACCCCAGGCCACGTCCCGCGGTCTTTACAGAGAAGGTCCGGCCAGTACCCACGACTCCCTCGCGGATTACAGTCGAGCCCTACAACTGGCGAGAGCCACACGGGCTAACCGAGCCCCAGGGCCACGAGTGGGCTCGGGCGACCCCCGCCCCCACTGCCAACCCCACCCACGCCCAGGCCGCCCAGGGGGCCTCCCTGACGGCGGACCCAGCTGAGGCAGGCTTGAAGCTCCGCTGCCTCACACGCAGACTCCCGCGGGCGCCCGGCGCCGTCCGCTGCGGCTCGGGCCCACCCCCAGGGGTCCCGGCGCCATTTGGATCCTCTAGCCCGCCGCCATTTTCCGCCGCCGCCGGCTCGCCGCGGCGCCCGGGCGCCTGCCCGGCGGTCCCGACCGCCAACGCCCGCACGGGCCGGCGAAGGAGGTGGCGGGCGCGGCGTGCCGCCGGGGCCACTGGGCGAAGGCCGAGCTCCGACCCCGCCCGCGGCGCCCGGCCGACGGCAGCCAAGGCCTGCGAAGGGGCCGGCCCGGTCTCACTGGGCGGAGCGGCTGCGCCAGAGGCCCGGACCTGTAGGTTCCATCGCACTTACTTCCTGTTTTGGGTCCGGGCACTTTGGAAGAACCAGGATGGAGGCTCCAAAAAATACCAGGATGGAGGAAGCAGCCACGGGAGAGAGTGGCTGCAGCTGGGGTGAGCGAGCGCAAGCAGCCACCGGAAACGGAGCCGCGGCCGCGCCCCGCCCCCCGCCTCCCAGCAACCCCCCTTCTGCCCGCCTCTCCCGTGGGGCGGCCCCGCGCGCCACCCGCGACGTCACTTCCGGCCTCGGCGGCGCGCTGCGAGGGCTCGGTCGCCATTCTCTTAGCGAGCGGTTGTGCGGCTCTCGCCGTCCAGCTGTTGCCGGTGCGGCAAAGCCAGGCGCAGGCCTCTGCTCCATCTGCCTCTGGCCCCTTCCCGGAGATCCGAAGCGGAGAGGAGGGAGCGCTGTGGGCCGGCTTGAGGGAGCCTGGGGGTGCAGACGTCGTCTCTGCTCCTTGGAGTCTGGGCGGGTGCTATAATTCTTGGGGAAAGATGGTCTCCGTTGACTGTGATCTCGCTTTTTAGGAAACGAAGGTTCTGGATGCATTTCAAGTTCAGTGCTGTTGCTCTACGCCGGCTGCAGCCCTATAATCTGGAGCCTTAGAAATGAACAAAATAGAAACCCTCTCGCTGTGCCTTTTTTTTTTTAAAAAAATATTGTTTGTTTTGTTTTTTTGAGACAGGATTTTTCTGTGTAGCTTTGGAGCCTGCCCAGGTACTCTCTTGTGTAGCCCAGGCTGGCCTCGAACTCAAAGAGATCTGCCTGCCTCCCGTGTGCCGGGATTAAAGCCGTGTGACACCCATGCAAATCTTTAGGAATCGGATTCCTTAAGGGAGTTGCATCTTTGGTTTTGAGATCTTCATACGTGATCAAATGCATTTTTGACCGTATTCACTCTTCCCTGCCCACTCCAACACCACCCGTGTTCCCCCTGACATCCCCCGCTCAAATCACATTCATGTCCTGTTATTCTATTAAGTGTTTGTGTATTCGTGAGTATTTGTGTAGCTCAAATGTCCTTGTGTGTAGATCTGAGCTCTTGAACATGGGAAACCAATCCGGTCTTTCTTAGGAAGGAAACTGACTTTCCCTCAGCACCCTTGGCTGCCAGTCGTCCCTTAGCTGGGGATGGAAGCCTTTACCCCATCCAAGCTGGAATGTTGACTGGAGCAGTGGTTTGCCTCTGGGTGATGGGTATTTCACACCAGTCTCCCCCTTGCCCTGGCGCTTTCAGTTTCTCTGCCCCCATCTTCAAGTTGGCCTTGGTTTAGGGATTCCACTTTAAATGTCCCATTCAGGGATGGGCACTCCACAGTCAGTTAACTCTGGACGCTGACCATTTGTGGTTCTGTCCTAACCTCCGTCCTCTGCAAAAAGTGCAGACTCTGATGAGAACACCAAAGAAGCCCCCTTTTTTTTGCTGTGTTTAAGGCACCCCAAGCGGGACACTAATTTCGGCAGTGAAGAGGCTGTAGCAGAAGGCTTGGGAATCTGAGGTAGCATAGGCTATGTAGACTCCATCTCAAAATCAGGTTCTAGGCAGTAGATTCCTTTTTTATGACTTCAGTGGCATCTAACTTGTTTATAAAGCCAAGATATGTTCTGCGTTCTTTTTGCTATTGTTGATAGAAAATTTAAAGTTGGTCTTTCAAGTCTAAGCAAGAAGGAGGGGACATGGACACAAAGTCCCACCCTGTTTGCAAATGACAGCTCTTGGGAAAGGGAAATTGAGTTTTTTCAGTGGAGTGAAATTGGATGTGTCAGCCATACTCTAAGACAGGCCTGGTCCACAGGAGTAGATGGCCAACAATTTGGACTATACGTTTCTTTCGAGGGTGTTTTTCTTTTTAAGAGAAAGAATGAACACGACATTGGGTGGGTTAAAAAAGTAGATGATCAAGAAAGAAGGGGGACAAGAAATATGACAAGATATGTAAAAATATACTATATGATGTTGTGTGGCATTTTGTGTTTTGACAATAAAACTTGCTTGGAGATCAGAGGATAGAGCTAGCTGCTAGGTCTGGAGGTCTGTACAGACAGGAGACCAGAAGTGATAAGGCGGGGCATAGACAGGATCTCGGCCCCTTTTTGGTCTGAGGTTGCAGAGAGGTAAGAAGTGACTTTGGTCATTCTTTGCTTCTCTGATCTTTCAGCTTTTGCCCCAATATCTGACTCCAGGTTTTTATTAATAATACTAGTTAGGATCTTGTTTCAATATGAAACTATCATAAATAGAAGAAAAATCCTGGCTTTCACTTATATTCTCATATCCGAGGACTTTGTGGAAACTGGTAACGAGTTTCAGATAACTAATAAGGTTACTAAAATTTAGAGATTTCCTCTAATAAAGCACACTGGCAATTGGCATTTAATTAGAAAAATGTTACATATCCTTAGGTTCTTAGCTAAATGTATGTAGTTTTTACCAGTAGTAAGCATTATTTGCTTACCCATTTCTCAGAATTAAAGGGAATGTAGAAGTAGTGGGATAACCACCATACATCTGTTAGAACGGCCCCCGACCAAAGCCACAACGCCGCCTACCATCAATGCTTGTTCTCTGCTGGGGCTAACAGTGGTGTAGCCTCTTGGAAGACAGGTTAGCACTTTGTCTTATTTTATACAAGATAACATTTTCCTCATATGATAAAGGCAATCTTTCCTTGTTCTGTTGCCCAAATAAACTGTAAACTTAACTTCACGCAAAGCCTGGACACTATATTTACAGCAGCCTTATTCACAGTTGACAAACAGAATGCCACCAAAATTTGTTTCAGCAGGTAAACCAGAAGTGATTCTCAGCCTTCCTAAGGATACGGCCCGTTAATACAGTTCCTCATGTTGTGGTGACCCACCAACCATAAAACTATTTCTTTGCTACTTCATAATTAATCATGAATAATTTGGTATGTAGAATATCTGATATGTGACCCCCCCCTCCAAAAAAAGGGTCATGACTCACAGGTTGAGAACTGCTGAGGTGAATGACTAAACAAAGAGGCACATCCTTAAATGGAATTTTTGTTGTTTTTGTTTTGTTTTTATATAGCTCTGGCTGTACTGTAACATGTTTTGTAGACCAGACTGAACTCAAATCCTCTGCCTCTCAAGTGTTGGGATTAAAGGTGTGCACCACTACTGTGTGAACTCATACAATGAAATTGTATTTGGTGTAAAGAGGGAAGAATCAAGATATATATTACTACATGAAGAAAACCATCTACAGTATGCGTGGTAAGACTATGCCATTGTGATTGTTTTGCTTTTCTATTGCGGTGAAGAGACACCATAACCAGGCAACTTATAAAACAAGAGAATTTGATTGGAGGCTTGCTTACAGTTTTAAAGGATGTGTCCATAGTTATCAGGGAAGGAAGCATGGCAGCAGGCAGACAGGCGGGCATGGCACTGGAGCACTAGCTGAGAACTTACATCCTTATCTACAAGTTGAAGGCAGAAGGCAAATTATGTTTTGGGCTTTTGAAACTTGAAGCCTGCCCCCAATGACATACCATCTCCAACCAGGCCACACCTAACCCTTCTCAAATAGTTCACCAAGTGGAGAGCAGGCATTCAAACATAAGAACCTACAGGGACCACTCTCATCCATCCACCACAGTGATATTCCGTAAAGGGCAAGGTTTTGGAGACAGTAAAATTAGTGTTACCAGGGGTGGGGAAAATGAATAGAGTTCAGGGGTTCCTATAGCGGCAAAGACTCTGTGGTACTGAAATAGAAACATGCCTTTACAGTTGTAGCAAACCCCCGAGTCTGATAAAGACAATACTCCAAATGAACTCTAACATAAACCATGTACTTTCTTTGTTAATAGTGTGTCAGTGTAGGTTCATCCCTTATGGCAAACGCTCACTCTGATTGTGTGTGTGTGCGCGCGCATGCATGTCTGTGCACATGCGTGTCTGTGAAGCCATGAGATATGCAGAAATTCTTCCTGCTCAACTTTGGGTGAATGTAGAAAGTGTTAAGAAACTGAAACCTAGATCTGGTTGTAAAATGAGGGACGTTTAGACCTCCCATTAGGGGTCTTATTCTTTACTATCAGATGAAGTAGATAAAGAATATGGAAGACAGAAAGGTGAGAGAAGATTGGTATTTCTATCACCTGCTGTTGGGAAGACAAATTCCTGCTTTTACCAACTACCTTGCATTGGGAGTTTTAAGGAAGCATGAAAAAACAAAAAAAGTCATAACATTGATATTTAAAAATGTAAATCTATTATCACAGTGACACCTCTGCACCCTTAACCTGAATAATTATTATAAAGATTGTCTAGAATGCGACTTGAATCCCAGAATATCTGTCTGTAGTTACACCTACTTCTCTTCTTAGTGTGTTCTCAGATTATGCATGAAAATTTAAATAATTGGGATTTAAACATCTTGAAGAAAAATAAACGTGAGAAATATCTTCTCTAACAGAAGTTATGGCAGAAAAACATCTACACCACGTTAATGGTATTTGCTATATGTGCTATTTTGATTTCTTCTGTTAGGCTTCATGTTTTTATCAGACTCATGAACAGCATCATAGAGTCAGTATTAATGAAATTTCCTCCTGCCCTCCTTATTTCCCTTTTCCCTTCCTTATCTGCCCCAGCCCTTCCTTATTTAAGTCAGGGTCTTGCTGCTGAGCCTAGGCTGCACTTGAACTAATAATCCTCTTGCCTCAGCCTCCTAAAGCTAGTATTACAGGCATGCATCCCCATGTTCAGCTAAAATTAATTTCCTCTTTTGAAAAGGTAATGTATTCATATAAAAGTATTTGAAATACTAAGGTGTTATGATTCTGTTTCATGGAAGTAGTTGGTATGCTTCAGAAAAAAAGACATTTTTCAAAGTAAAAGAAAAATACTGGGTACAGGAGACTACTTCCTACGTATAACCCCAGCAGCACAGACATTAAGGGCCTCATTGAATAAATGGGACCTCCTGAGACTGAGAAGCTTCTGTAAAGCAAAGGACACTGTCACTAAGACACAAAGGCAACCCACTGACTGGGAGAAGATCTTCACCAACCCCGCAACTGACAAAGGTCTGATCTCCAAAATATATAAAGAACTCAAGAAACTAGACCGTAAAAGGCTAATCAACCCAATTATAAAATGGGGCACTGAGCTGAACAGAGAAT